TGCAGACACATGGCCAGGAAGTAGTGCCAATTACTGAGGAAAAAAGTCTTCTGGGAAACACACAGTAAACAGGTCACCAGGGGGAAGATGGCCAGACGGTGCTTGTTCTTAGTGGCCATGTCCAGGGTGGTCGAGTACAGCATCTCCACGAAGTACTTTAGGCACGGCACGTTGACCTCGTTCTTCACCGTCTGTAGAACGACAAGATGGTGGTAAATTAGACACAGGGGAGTGAGAGATAGAGGAAGTGGGAGACTGGAAGGACTGGAAGATACTGGAAGGTTGAAGGACTGGAAGGACTGGAAGGACTGGAAGGTTGAAGGACTGGAAGGACTGGAAGGTTGAAGAACTGGATGGTGCAAGGATTGGAATGACTGGAAGATACTAGAAGGTTGAAGGACTGGAAGGACTGGAAGATACTGGATGGTGCAGGATTGGAATGACTGGAAGATACTGGAAGGTTGAAGGACTGGAAGGACTGGAAGATGCTGGATGGTGCAAGGATTGGAAGGACTGGAAGATACTGGAAGGTTGAAGGACTGGAAGGACTGGAAGATACTGGATGGTGCAAGGATTGGAATGACTGGAAGATACTGGGTTGAAGGACTGGAAGGACTGGAAGATACTGGATGGTACAAGGTTGGAATGACTGGAAGATACTGAAGGTTGAAGGACTGGAAGGACTGGAAGATACTGGATGGTGCAAGGATTGGAATGACTGGAAGATACTGGAAGGTTGAAGGACTGGAAGGACTGGAAGATGCTGGATGGTGCAGGATTGGAATGACTGGAAGATACTGGAAGGTTGAAGGACTGGAAGGACTGGAAGATACTGGATGGTGCAAGTTGGAAGGACTGGAAGATTGGAAGGTTGAAGGACTGGAAGGACTGGAAGGACTGGAAGGTTGAAGGACTGGAAGGACTGGAAGGTTGAAGAACTGGATGGTGCAAGGATTGGAATGACTGGAAGATACTAGAAGGTTGAAGGACTGGATGGTGCAAGGATTGGAATGACTGGAAGGTTGAAGGACTGGAAGGTTGAAGGACTGGAAGGACTAGAAAGAGCCACCACACAAACCCTACGTACCGCGGCCACAGGAACCAGTATCTCCACGAAGAGACCAGCCAGGGCGTGTTTGATGTCCTTGTCCCGCACCTCCAGGAAATACTGCGCACACTCTTGCATGAACTGGAACGACGCCTCGAACTCCTCAATCGGCACCATCTGTCGGGCGAAAGTTCGATCAAAATTTACCACATTGTACTCTGGTTGGCGGTGAAAGGGGGGTGGGGGGTGGGGGGTGGGGGAATCGGGGTATTTGTTTAGTGGATCATTAAGTCAAGGAGCTGTAGTTAATGTACAGTTGTGGGGGTTCTACAGTTCGCTGCTTTCGTTCCGTCCCAAACTAAAGCAGTATCAACCCCTAATGAGACTGAAACAACAGCACAAGTCAGGCTGTAGTCAGTTCAGAGATCCATTCCCCCTGACTGAGCTTCACCCCAGGGAGACAACTTATTAACCCACGAGTGTACAGTATATGACCCCAGAGAAGCAATAACAGGATGGGTACTGTATAACAAATGTAAACTGACCCTGACCTGACCTGACCTGACCTAACCTAGCATGTTTTAGTTAGTTAGATCAGTTATTTTGTTTTATACAGTAAATAATTGTGAATAATTACTGGTGATCTGGAGTTAATAATAATTATTATTATTATTATTATTATTATTATTATTATTATTATTATTATTATTATTTGTTTAATTAATATTATACTACTGTAGTTTTTGTATTTGTAGATCTGTAATGAGTAATACAGTATATGTAGTCTACATCTTTAAACCTAACCTAACCCATACCTAATCTAACCTAACTTAACCCAACCCAACCTAACCATTGACCTTTGACCCAGAACAGACATCAATCACAAACGAACCTTGACCCTAAAGAACTTCATTCCCATCAGGAGAGACGTAATGCTCTGTGTTGTGACGGACGAGGCTTCCCTCGACCGTAGTTCCTTCAGTTCGGCCATGAAGCGTCGACGCACTGACTGGAATCTCGACTGGGCCAGGACGCCAACGACCTCAGCGTACAGGTCGGCGATGATGTTGATGTTCTCGCCGTTGGGATTGTTCTGGACGCTGCGACACGGACATTTTGAATTAATACTTAACCCCTTGAGTACGATGATGGTAGCCCCCTTGAGTACAAAAAGTTACCCCTAGAGTACAATATCAGTTAACCATGTTTATCTTGGTATATAAATACATACAAATATACATACCATTCCATTTATACATACACACACACACACACACACATACATACATACATACATACATATATACATAAATACATACTATACATATAAGAACAGCCCAGTCCCAACCATTGTAAAAATTATCAATAACTTGTAATCACTCCCAGTCAATCTTACCTTTTGTACAGTCACTATGTTGAACTGGCCTGTAGTATGACCTTCTCCCCGCTACCTTTTGTACTGTCACTATGTTGAACTGGCCTGTAGTATGACCTTCTCCCCACTACCTTTTGTACTGTCACTATGTTGAACTGGCCTGTAGTATGACCTTCTCCCCACTACCTTTTGTACTGTCACTATGTTGAACTGGCCTGTAGTATGACCTTCTCCCCACTACCTTTTGTACTGTCACTATGTTGAACTGGCCTGTAGTGTGACCTTCTCCCCACTACCTTTTGTACAGTCACTATGTTGAACTGGCCTGTAGTATGACCTTCTCCCCACTACCTTTTGTACAGTCACTATGTTGAACTGGCCTGTAGTATGACCTTCTCCCCACTACCTTTTGTACAGTCACTAACTGGCCTGTAGTATGACCTTCTCCCACTACCTTTTGTACAGTCACTTGTTGAACTGGCCTGTAGTATGACCTTCTCCCCACTACCTTTTGTACTGTCACTATGTTGAACTGGCCTGTAGTATGACCTTCTCCCCACTACCTTTTGTACTGTCACTATGTTGAACTGGCCTGTAGTATGACCTTCTCCCCACTACCTTTTGTACTGTCACTATGTTGAACTGGCCTGTAGTATGACCTTCTCCCCACTACCTTTTGTACTGTCACTATGTTGAACTGGCCTGTAGTATGACCTTCTCCCCACTACCTTTTGTACTGTCACTATGTTGAACTGGCCTGTAGTATGACCTTCTCCCCACTACCTTTTGTACTGTCACTATGTTGAACTGGCCTGTAGTATGACCTTCTCCCCACCTAGTTATTATATTTGTATCACTTATATTATTGGTCAATCAAGTGACCCATATCACCAATTATGTAACTGTATATTGTCACCCTTCTGGCTGTCATGTTCTTTCAATAAACCGTTAATTATTATTATTTATTACATCCATACAAGTATATATACATTAATTTATTTGTCCCTTAAAACCTTCAATAAAGTGTAATTGATGCCACAGTTTTACGTGATATGACACGCACGCATGCACGCACGCACGCACACACGCGCACACACACACACCTGCCACACACTACTGATATAACACATAAGGTTTAATTAGCCCTTTGAGGATGATGGTTTAACTGCACTGTAGATTGTAGTTTAAACCATTGTCCTTCAAGGGGTCATAGTTTAAACCACCGTCCTTCAAGGGGTCATAGTTTAAACCATCATCCTCAAATTGTTGTACCGTAAACCATCATCTTCTTGGTGTTATACTGTAGTTTAAACCACCGTCCTCAAGGTGATAATTTAAACCACCGTCCTCAAGGTGCTAATTTAACCCACCAACGTCAAAGTGTGTTAGTTTAAACCACAGACAGTCACCCTATAACTCACCCTTCTCTATACTTAAAGTGCTTGAAGGCAATGTCCTCAATGTGCTTCACCAGGTCGTCGTGCCCCGGGTGAACCGACAGTTGACGCAGGACCTCGATCAGCACCAAGCAGAATATAAACTCTACCGCCAGATCCCGACGTTCCTGAATCGTCTCCCGGTCTATGTTCGATCCTGCGTCCACTCTGGTAATGAGGCGGTTGTTGGTTAGGATGTAGTTATGACGGCGGTTTGTTATCGGAGTGAGGTCAGTTCAGGTTAACTATAGACAGTTTCTAATACATATTTACCCTTTGCTTTTACTGGGATCTTGTTTGAACTTGGCGTCGGTCGCGCCCCATTCCACTCCCTGACGATCGTACCACGCGAAGAGTGTACGAAGGAGCGACGGCAGGCAGTGTTCGGCCACGCAGCCAAATGCGAGCAGCAGCTGATCGAAGGTATAATCCTCGCCTCGCTGCAGGCTCTTCGACAAGGTACGTTCCTGGTGTGAAAAGAGGATGACAAAACTAGAAATAGCACATCCACGACCTAACACATCTACAACTCTAACACCCTTCACTATGGGGACGTAAATTTTAATATTCTATTCAACTAACACCACCCTATTACAGCTAGTACAAGACCCTATTACAGCTAGTACAAGACCCTATTACAGCTAGTACAAGACCCTATTACAGCTAGTACAAGACCCTATAGAACAAGACCCTATTACAGCTAGAACAAGACCCTATTACAGCTAGTACAAGACCCTATTACAGCTAGTACAAGACCCTATAGAACAAGACCCTATTACAGCTAGAACAAGACCCTATTACAGCTAGTACAAGACCCTATAGCCCCTAATACTCACTATAACTTCCTGCATGACTGTCTCGATCTTCTTCTCGGCCATGACCGTGTACTCGGCAAAGAGCGTACGCATGACGAACTCTCCCGGGCGCAGGTCAGTGTCGATGTGGACCGTGGCGGGGAACTGGGCCCTCTCCTTCCGGGCGCCCCAGGGTAACAGAGTCGATCCCTGGCTGCCAGTGCTCCCGCCTCCTCCACCAACGCTGTTTTCCGTGCTGGAGTCTGTGGGGGGAGAAATATCAAAACTAGTCTAACTTAATCTAGTTTAGTTTAATCTAGTCTAACCTTATCTAGTCTTACCTAATATAGTCTTACCTAATCAAGTCTAACTTAATCTAGTCTAACTTAATCTAGTTTAGTTTACTTTAATCTCACGTAATCAAGTCTAACTTAATCTAGTCTAACTTAATCTAGTTTAGTTTACTTTAATCTCACATAATCAAGTCTAACTTAATCTAGTCTAACTTAATCTAGTCTAACTTAATATTGTCTAACGTAATGTAGTTTAACTTAATCTAGTCTAACTTAATATTGTCTAACTTAATATTGTCTAACATAATCTAGTTTAACCTAATCTAGTTTAACTTAATCTAGTCTACCCTAACCTAACCTCACCCTAACTACCCCACTACTACACTCACCAGAGACAACAGTGTGTGACCTATCAGATAAAGGTTCAGCCGAGTTAGTGCCGGTGTCATGCGTGGACGACAACTGGTCATTTTCGTCGTCGCTGTTCATCTCCAGTATCTCGTCCTGTCCGGCCTCTCGACCATCTCCCGGCCCGCGTTCCCCCACCTCCTCCCCATCTGCGGAACCATTTACACCAAGTTGACGAGGGTTCGGTAACGTGGATCATATACGCTGCATTTTATTAATTTGGAGCAGATTTCAAATACGGCAATAATAAATGTAAGTTAATTAACATTTTTATGGTGTATAGTATAATGTAGTGCAGGAATATAAGATACATACTTGTGTTGGTCGGGATATATTAAATGCAAGGTTAGCAACACGCAAAAGGAGAATGGAGAGAATACATCGCCGAGGCTGTGTTAATTCACCATATTGAGTATCCAAATATACCTTCGGCAATAAGGCCTCCCTACACCTACACCACAGGCTAATTTGGAAGAGCTCTCAACTTTGGATGAGGAAACTGAGGAAGAAGAAATCCCAGAATCCTCCACTGATCCTCCTCTCATTGGCTGGACTGACTGCCAATGACCCACATCTTATAGAACAAAGTGAACTTAATGATCTTGTATGTGATCTCTGTCTGTCAAAGCAGCGGGCGGAACTTTTAGCATCAAGACTGCAGGAATGGAACTTGCCAGCGAAACAGACAATAATTTATGTTTTTAGGGAAAGAAATATTACATTATCTTCATGTTACAGTAGGCAGGAGTCCCTCTGTGTGTACTGATGTCAGAGCCAGGAGAAACACCTGACCAGAGGAACGGCGGCTTTTATAGATTCCTCCAAGTTAAAGTTTGAAAGCAGTATTGTTGTATAATGGGAACCAGGGGCCGGTATACACAAAACTTTTATGCTAGTGACATAATAGTAAAGTTAGCTAGTAGTAAAATGTAAAAGTTATGCACAAAGCTTAACTAGCAAACTTTTACCGCACAAATAGTTGTTTGTCAAGTACCGCTAAACAGCGCTAAAAATAGCAGGGGTTTATCATATAAAATGGTCTTTTGGCTGAATAACCTCAAAGAAAAGGAAGCCTAGCTGGACAGTGGCGGCCATTGAAGAGAAAAAGTTAATATTTAATGGTCACTTGAAGACTTTCCTCAATAATAAAGACAAAAGAGAGTTATTTTTTGTTATCAAACCGTCACCTTTTTATGAATTGTTTTTCTTACCATTTAGTAAATCTCGTCGAGTAACGAAAAAATATACTTGAATTAAGCGGCGCATTCCAAAAATAAACGAGATATTCCCAATTTATTAGTTGTAAAATGTCTCAATTTGATGTAATGGTGCTCGAGAGGTTTTATTTATTGTTTATTATATTGATATAAAATTCAATACAATATGTGCATAGAATCTGATTAATATTTTGTGATGGGCGGGGAAGAGAGAGTGGACCAAGTGCATTATACATAGAAAACTTACTTGGGTAGAGGTTAAGTTACTCTGATAAAAATACTTTCTCAACTAAAAGTACTGTACTAATTCTTTATGTTGGTTAATTAAAAGTCAAAGTACATTTAAAAAGTTAATAAAAGTAGTGAAGCATCTGGAATAAAAATACAATTGATATTAAAATTTAAGTAGACAATAGTAGTTATCCAGACAGCTGCCCAAAGATACCAATAAAGTTATAATACTAATAATAACAAACTAAATACAGTAAATACTAAATATATTAACTAAGGTAGACACTAAAAGCACTTCAACTTAATAACATTCCCAGACATGTCAAGACCCCATTCTAATATGCTCGAGGGAACTGTCTTGAGCAAACGTGTGACAATACAGTTGACATGATATAATTTGTTAACTGAAGCAATATGGAGATAACTGAAGCAATATGGAGATAACTGAAGCACACATGGAGATAACTGAAGCAATATGGAGATAACTGAAGCAATATGGAGATAACTGAAGCACACATGGAGATAACTGAAGCAATATGGAGATAACTGAAGCAATATGGAGATAACTGAAGCACACATGGAGATAACTGAAGCAACATGGAGATAACTGAAGCAATATGGAGATAACTGAAGCACACATGGAGATAACTGAAGCAATATGGAGATAACTGAAGCACACATGGAGATAACTGAAGCAATATGGAGATAACTGAAGCACACATGGAGATAACTGAAGCAATATGGAGATAACTGAAGCAATATGGAGATAACTGAAGCACACATGGAGATAACTGAAGCAATATGGAGATAACTGAAGCAATATGGAGATAACTGGAAGCATATGGAGATAACTGAAGCAATATGAGATAACCCCAGCTATTAAGGGAGAGATAAAGCACACACATGGAGATAACGAAGTAATATGGAGATAATCACAATATGGAGATAACTGAAGCAATATGGAGATAACTGAAGCAATATGGAGATAACTGAAGCACACATGGAGATAACTGAAGCACACATGGAGATAACTGAAGCACACATGGAGATAACTGAAGCACACATGGAGATAACTGAAGCACACATGGAGATAACTGAAGCAATATGGAGATAATCGAAGTAACACATGGGAGATAACTTAGTTACTGACATGGAGATACACCAGTTAAATATGGAGATAACTGAAGCAATATGGAGATAACTGAAGCAATATGGAGATAACTGAAGCAATATGGAGATAACTGAAGGACACATGGACCAAAATATGTGGCAGGACCAGATGTTTTATTTTGATCTACTGAGTAAGGTCATGACGTTAAACACAGAATACAATTGAACATCGTCCTCAATGAAAAAGACGGTAGAGTAGTCCGCAGATTTTCATTTTTTTACGGACGGATCATCAGCAGCTTAACCCTACCCTAAACCAAGACCTACCCACGACTCTCTAGACACAGACAAGGCATTAAGGGACGCGAGACCGACAGACCATAACAACTTACCGCAAGGCTCGTGTACATAAGCATCGCTGGAATTTATGATGCGGTATACGGCGGTCGTCATCTTCCGAATGGGACTCGAAGCGATGTTATATGTCTGACGAAACATTGCGGCCCGATAACGTCTTTTAGAAACACAACCGCTTCACACTTCTCCAGATAAAATTGTCAATATTGTCACCACACACATCACCAGTGGCTGGATTTCCTCAGTGTTAAGTCGTATCAGTGTTAATTTCTTTCACCTTGGAGACATCACTTTCGATGTCTTATTTGACCGACGCCAGATGATTTTATTCAGCAGACAGAACCCCATACAAAAGGGGTTAAAACTTACCAAACGAGACTAAAACAATCTATTTCTCTTCAAACACGACATCGAGAATATAAATACACCGTCGATACGCTGCAGTACGCACAGAAAAACATCTATGAGGTCCATGGAGCGCTCATAAAAACAACGACTACCACCAATGCACGTTCAAACAACTTGAGTCTGGCTTATCACCCGCTATCTCTCACCTGATAACTTACAACTGAAGATAAAAGAGATATGACAGAGGTAACACAAAGGATAACAATAGTTGAGTCACCTGATGATTAACCAACCTCACCTAACCTAAGCTAATCTAACCTAAACTAACCTAACCTGATTATTAACCAACCCAACCTAACTCAACCTTATCTAACCTAAGCTAATCTAACCTAAACTGACCTAATCATAACCTAACCTAACCAAGCAACCTCACTCACCCAAGCGTAACCTAAATTACTCTAACCTAACCACCACAACCTAGGAACTTAACTCACCCTAACATATCTAAACCTAACCTGCTGATTAACCAAACTAACTTAACTCATCCTAACATAACCTAACTTACCCTAATATAACCTAACTTAACATAATCGAACCTAACCAAACTTAACTTCTAACTTAACTTATACTAACCAAACCTAAATTCTAACATAACTTATCATAACTTAACCAAACTTAACCAAACCCAACCTAAACTAACATCCCATCCTAACCTAACCAAACCAATCTAAACCCCCCCCCCTTCCCAGGTAACATCAAGGTGTGTTTAATTAATCCTCAGATAAAATAAACTGCGTCAGGTAATCGTCACAAGATACAAGTCCATCACAACAACACGGTAACATTTCTGCCGTAACTTTCACTAACCGTCGGCAACTACGTAAACTGCACCATCGGACGCGAGGATTGGGAGACAAGACTACTCGACACGTATACAGTGAAACCCCCATATAACGTACTTCTCTCTCCATATACTCAATTAGATGGAGGTTTCACATCTTATGGACCCTTGATATAATGGACTTTCCTCTCAATTCATTAAATAGCGTTTTCACTGTAACCCCCCCAAGCAGTTAATAGAATTCTAAAAATATCGAGTTACTTTCAAAATACAGTTACCGTCATCTAGTACAATCGGACAAACATTACCGCACTATAAACATTAAAATAAATACAAATATATATACATCTCATCGTGGAGAATGTATATATGTACTCTCCATATATATATACAACTCTGATATTTATATTATGGAATATTTGTTAATAAGACGTGTGTTAAGGGAGATAATTATGGCACTACTGATTGTCACAGCTACCAGATCAGTCAGCGACCACACCAGCAACGACACACTACCGCAGCTACCCGGCCAATCAGGGACAGACCACACCAGCAACGACACACTACCGCAGCTACCCGGCCACTCAGGGAGAGACCACACCAGCAACGACACACTACCGCAGCTACCCGGCCAATCAGGGACAGACCATACCAGCACGACAAACTACTCGAGCTACCCAGCCAATCAGGGACAGACCATACCAGCACGACAAACTACTCTAGCTACCCGGCCAATCAATACCTTGCTTGGACGAAATGAGGCGATCGAGAAGTAACTTTTTGAAGACGGCAACGCCCGGAGCCACAATTCTGCGGCCTAGGCTCGGGGAGAGTATAGGGGAGTGGAGTGAGGAGCCTTCCCCACTTGAATGGAGAGAAGAAGTGGAAGAATTGTTGGGTATTTGTGCGTGAGGTTCTTTACTGTCCTTGTCGTCCCTGCGTCTGTGACTGGGGTACGTTCGTGGTCGTGTCCATAAAGCATGCAAAATAAAAATGGATAAACTTTTACTCTCTGTGCCAAAAAAATAAACCAACTTTTACCTCCTGTGTAAAAAAAATAAACCAACTTTTACCTCCTGTGTAAAAAAAATAAACCAACTTTTACCTCCTGTGTAAACAAACCAACACCCTTCACCCCCACCCATGTACACACACTCATACAGACACAGCTAAGCCAAGACACCATCATTATACAAACCAGTCAGTCGAACGAAACATCACCCAAGTACTGTATGAACCTTATAGGAGAAGCCGGAGGATTCTGGAGAGTCAGCTCGATGGTCTGGTGCATCCCAACATGCAGCCGATACGCAGAGCGAAACTGTGTCCTCTGCTGTCCCCGGCGAATTGTTGTTGTTGTTGTTGTTATTGTTTTGATAGCCCGCGGCATGATCAGCGGCCGTCGGAGATTAGCGGGGAGCGCTGTCCTCTTCATGTTTATTAACTCGGGCGGTAAACTCTTCACCGAGTCAGATTATACGACGGTGAGATAATCATCCGGTTCAGTAATGCAGATTGAACACATTTAGTTTCATCCTGCCTGAGGTTTCTGGCCTGTGTATAAGACTTCACTCTAAGACCTTTATATAATTTGTTATATCTTGATCAGGTAAATGTTCCCTTACGTTACCTGGGCAGTCAATAACGGGCTCTTCAATATATATAATACTTGGTTATTATATTTCAGTTTTCAGTGTGTGTGTGTGTTAGACAGACTAAAACACAGTACACTCACTCACTCACCCACACAGCCACACTAGTAAGAGCTCCTGTCCACTACCACACTCCTGCTGCCTTACCACAAACTCTGACTGAGAATAGCAAGTCATTTCAACCCTTACACACAACTAACATAAGGTTTAAATCACCCTCCATCACCAGTGTATGGATTTAAACACAGGAAATCAAATGTATGTTCTTTTAGGTAAGTTTTCACAGCTTGCCTCACCAGTAAAGGGAATTCTATAACCACTTCAGTAACATAAACCTTTTAAGGAAGCCAACAGGAAGAACTGCAACTCTGTGTAAGCTAATCTCTTAAGGTAATTATATGAGGCAGTAAGTAGGGCAGGTGTGTGTGTGTGTGTGTGTGTGTGTGTGTGTGTGTGTGTGTGTGTGTGTGTGTGTGTGTGTGTGTGTGTGTGTGTGTGTGTGTGTGTGTGTGTGTGTGTGTGATGGTCTCAAAATGAAGCCTTATATGTTAGTATGAGCCAGGCTACAGTCTAGTTCACCTGGCCTCTCTCTCTCTGTCTCTCTCTTTCACTCACTCTTTTTCACTCTTATTGTATCTCTTTCACTCTCAATCTCTCTCTCTTTCACACACACATCTCTCATTCTCTCTCTTTCACTCTCTCTCTCTCTCTCTCAGTAATAAACAGGTACATATATCAAGCCAACAGTGAGGACCAGTGTACAGTGATAGACCAGCCTGCTATGGTAACTCTCTGTGATGTGAGGAGAGAAAATATCAATGGACGATCATAGCGATTGTTACAAGGTGTATTGGTGCTCTTCTGTATACACAATGTTCTTTTTCTGTTCAATATCAGAGCCTGTTCAACACCAGAGCCTGTTCAACACCAGAGCCTGTTCAACACCAGTGCCTGTTCAACACCAGCCCCTGTTCAACATCGGAGAATAACCCCCCCCATCTCCCCCACACACAACTGACCTGGGGGAGGAGGTGGGGTCTATAACGGTAGAGGTCAGGAGGCAGTAGAAGCTATGGTAGCTTGTGAGGCTGAGGAGCTGTGCGGAAGTGGCTAGGGCGGCGGGCGAGCTGGGAGGTTAACGATCACCTCGCTACAGCCTCGCCAAGCCAGCTATCAACGAGGTCGTCCGGGTCGTCCATATTTCACATGTCAACTGCGAGCGGATCGGAAAAAAGGTAAACAAATTAATTTCCGATAAATGACTACAATATGATAAATGGCAAAGGTGAAGGAGACGGTTAGTACCAGAAATAACTTATGGAGATAATATTTCCATTGTACTGAACACAAATATGGAAATAAGAATGTGTGGAACCAATTAAAACTGACCTAACCTAACCATAGAGCTAGTTTAACCCAATATCCCAATTATTATTTTCCTCCTAATTATAATAAACAGAATTTCTTAATATATGGGGGGAGTACGTGGGGCTAGGATATTGGGTTAGGTTTCTTTGGTCAGGTTAGGTCAGGTTAGGTTTCTTTGGTCAGGTTAGGTCAGGTTAGGTTTCTTTGGTCAGGTCAGGTTAGGTTTCTTTGGTTAGGTCAGGTCAGGTTAGGTTAGGTTACATTAGGTTAGGTTCTATTATACGCCGCCTCTTCCACTTTAACAAGATGTGGGAACAAATGAACCAACTCCTCCTCCTGGTGGTGGTGGCAGTAGTTCCCCCACACATTACCCCAAAAACATTAATAATATAAAATAATGAATAAAACACATAACATAACGTGAAATAACAACAACAACCATATGATCATTACATTACCCTAATAACTCCATCACAACACAAACACAGCTTCTCTTATCTTAAAAAAGGTTTATAATATAAGATAAAAGTTGTATAGGATCATATAGAGATAAATTAAAGGTTTAAATGGGAAGAAAAATCTGACATTACCTCAACAACTCCCTCACAACAAACTCCTTCTGAAGTGCGAAAACCTTACACACTTCTTAAACTATTATAAATCTCTATATAACTTCTATATTCAATTGATTTAATGTGATTTAGAGATTATAGATGAAATTATAATGATTATTTTATTATCCTAAACCACCTTCACTGGATAAAACACAATAGGTAGGTGAGTAAATAGCATAATATATGATCTACTGTTTATATGTAAATTTAAAATTGTTTTACCTTAAACGTCCAAAAAATAATATATTACTTTGATTTTACGTTTCAAATTGCATAACTATACTTAAAACTTTTCATTAAATAATAGTTATTTGTTAAAATTTCAGGTTTTTCCAATTGGTTTTGGTCTTTATGCTACTTTTCGCATTTCAGAAACCTAGAGGAAAATAATCGTCCATTACAGTATATTTGATGTTACAAGATTACCACGACAATAACTTATAATATATTGATTTTTTCAGTTGCAAAAAATAACTATATATATATTATAAACTTTCCAAAAATACCTAATAAATATAAATTATGTTATTATAGGTCATTACATATCTCATTATATGTTTTAAGATAATAATGATAAATTACTATACATGTTCGTGGAACTTGTTTAACATAAGCCAACTTGTAAAGTAAACACAACAACCATGTCATCAAGTTGTTTATTTCCGTCTCTTTAACCACCGACTGGTCTCCTTTATCATCTCTCTACTGACAAACGACAAACAGCTGCCAGTTATAACATCATCTTCAAGTAACACCAAGAAAAATATCAACGAAATAATTATCATTTATATTTAAACTTCAAATGTTATTAATATATAACTAAATAGGATGGGTTAGGTTAGGTTAGGTGGGAACATTGTGTACCTAGACAGTGTAGGTATAGTGTGTACCTGGACAGTGTAGGTATAGTGTGTACCTAGACAGTGTAGGTATAGTGTGTACCTGGACAGTGTAGGTATAGTGTGTACCTAGACAGTGTAGGTATATAGTGTGTACCTAGACAGTGTAGGTATAGTGTGTACCTAGACAGTGTAGGTATAGTGTGTACCTGGACAGTGTAGGTATATAGTGTGTACCTAGACAGTGTAGGTATATAGTGTGTACCTAGACAGTGGTATGGTAGTATGTACCTGGACAGTGTGGGTATAGTGTGTGCCAGACAGTGTAGGTATATAGTATGTACCTGGACAGTGTGGGTATATAGTGTGTACAGACAGTGTGGGTATAGTGTACCTAGACAGTGTGGGTATAGTGTGTGCCTGGACAGTGTAGGTATAGTGTACCTCAGACAGTGTGGGTATAGTGTACCTAGACAGTGTAGGTATAGTGTGTACCTAGACAGTGTAGGTATAGTGTGTACCTAGACAGTGTGGGTATATAGTGTGTGCAGACAGTGTGGGTATATGTGCCAGACAGTGTGGGTATATGTGTGTACCTGGACAGTGTATAGTGTACCTGGACAGTGTGGGTATAGTGTGTACCTAGACAGTGTGGGTATAGTGTGTACCTAGACAGTGTAGGTATAGTGTGCACTAGACAGTGTAGGTATAGTGTGTACCTAGACAGTGTGGGTATATAGTGTGTACCTAGACAGTGTAGGTATATAGTGTACTCAGACAGTGTAGGTATAGTGTACCCAGACAGTGTGGGTGTGTGTACCTAGACAGTGTGTATAGTGTGTACCTAGACAGTGTAGGGTATAGTGTGTACCTAGACAGTGTAGGTATATAGTGTGTGAGACAGTGGTATATAGTGTGTACCTAGACAGTGTAGGTATAGTGTGTACCTAGACAGTGTGGGTATAGTGTGTACCTAGACAGTGTGAGGTATAGTGTGTACCTAGACAGTGTAGGTATATAGTGTGTGCCTAGACAGTGTAGGTATAGTGTGCCTGGACAGTGTAGGAGTGTGTACCTAGACAGTGTAGGTATAGTGTGTACCCAGACAGTGTGGGTATATAGTGTGTACCTGGACAGTGTAGGTATAGTGTGTACCTAGACAGTGTGGAGTATAGTGTGTACCTAGACAGTGTAGGTATAGTGTGTACCTAGACAGTGTGGGTATAGTGTACCCAGACAGTGTAGGTGAGTGTACCTAGACAGTGTAGGTATATAGTGTGTACCTAGACAGTGTGGTATATAGTGTGTACTAGACAGTGTAGGTATAGTGTGTACCTGGACAGTGTAGGTATAGTGTGTACTAGACAGTGTGGGTATAGTGTGTACCTAGACAGTGTAGGTATAGTGTACTGTACAATGTAGGTATAGTGTGTACCTAGACAGTGTGGGTATAGTGTACCAGACAGTGGGTATATAGTGTACCCCAGACAGTGTAGGTATATAGTGTACTCTAGACAGTGTGGGTATATAGTGTGTACCTAGACAGTGTGGGTATAGTGTGTACCCAGACAGTGGTATAGTGTGTACCTAGACAGTGTGGGTATATAGTGTGTACCTAGACAGTGTAGGTATATAGTGTGTACCCAGACAGTGTAGGTATATAGTGTGTACCTCAGACAGTGTAGGTATAGTGTGTACCTAGACAGTGAGGTATAGTGTACCTAGACAGTGTGGGTATATGTGTACCTAGACAGTGTAGGTATATAGTGTGTACCTGGACAGTGTGGGTATAGTGTGTACCTGGACAGTGTGAGGTATATAGTGTGTGCCTGGACAGTGTAGGTATATAGTGTGTACCTGGACAGTGTGGGTATAGTGTGTACCTAGACAGTGTGGGTATAGTGTGTGACCTGGACAGTGTGGGTATAGTGTGTGCCTGACAGTGTAGGTATATAGTGTGTACCTGGACAGTGGTGTGTGCCTGGACAGTGTGGGTATAGTGTGCCTAGACAGTGTAGGTATAGTGTACCTGACAGTGTGGGTATGGTGTGTACCTGGACAGGTATATAGTGTGTTCTGGACAGTGGTATAGTGTACCTGACAGTGTGGGTATAGTGTACCCCAGTGTAGGTATAGTGTACCTGACAGTGTAGGTATAGTGTGTACCTAGACAGTGTAGGTATATAGTGTGTACCTAGACAGTGTGAGTATATAGTGTTTAGATAGTGTGGGTATAGTGTGTACCTGGACAGTGTGAGGATAGTGTGTACCTGACAGTGTAGGTATAGTGTGTACCTGGATGTGGGTATATAGCTAAATTAGAGTGGGTATATAGTACCTGGACAGTGTGGGTATATAGTGCCCAGACGGTGTGGTATAGTGTACCTAGACAGTGTGGGATATAGTGTGTACCTAGACAGTGTGGGTATATAGTGTGTACCTAGACAGTGTAGGTATAGTGTGCCTAGACAGTGTAGGTATAGTGTGCTCTAGACAGTGTGGGTATAGTGTACCTGGACAGTGTGGGTATATAGTGTGTGCCTGGACAGTGTAGGGTATAGTGTGTGCCTAGACAGTGTAGGTATAGTGTGTACCTAGACAGTGTAGGTATATAGTGTGTACCTAGACAGTGTAGGTATATAGTGTGTACCTAGACAGTGTAGGTATATAGTGTGTACAATCACCACCCGGCCAGCCCAGGTACAACAAGTTAACAAGGAGACACAGGTAAGGTTCAGTCTGGCCAGCAGTACAGTGGAGGGCCGGACCATCTCCAGCGATCACTTCTTCTAAATTTGACCAAGTTGAAAAAAAAGTTCAAAGTCCAAAGTTATGGTGAAGAGTTTTTGTGTTGGAAATAATAGAGTCTGAGGAGATGACATCTTTTATTTTGACCTGACATTATTTACAAAAGTGTGTGAGGTGAGGCAGTGAGCTGGTGTACATTTCCCTTCAAGTCTTCACCACAAGATACTTACATCAAATATCTTCATGTTTAGGATGTGATCGACTTGAACATAATCAATGTTATAACTCTTGTTTATTGTGATGACTTGAGGCCGCAACACCTGAGGCCGGAACCGACGCATCTGACGCAATACATATTTCACGCTACAATAAACAATATTTCAATTACATCCAATTTGAATCTTCCAAGTTTTATCCTAGAGGGAAGACATTTTCCCTCTCCCTAGAAAGACGGGCAGTCGTGTAACGGGTATTAGCCGAGCCGAGAAAATCATAATACCCGCCTACGAACGTCACACGTCTGGTTCTGGCCAGGAACAGACCAATGAGCGAACAACAGACCTTACAATGAGCTGAACAACGAGACTTACAATGAGCTGAACAACAGACCCTCACAATGAGCTGAACAACAGACCTTACAATGAGCTGAACAACAGACCCTCACAATGAGCTGAACAACAGACCTTTACAATGAGCTGAACAACAGACCCTTACAATGAGCTGAACAACAGACCCTTACAATGAGCTGAACAACAGACCCATACAATGAGCTGAACAACAGACCCTTACAATGAGCTGAACAACAGACCATTTCTACCCATAATATAACATAGTGTGTCTTGGAAAATGGTGTACTGTACATAGTTAGTTTCATACTTGACAACATATGTACTGTACAGCTATTACCAACAAAACTTATTACAATAATTATACAGGGGCTGTGAAATACCTGGCCTGTAATAAATATATTCTTATTGTGGTTCAGTCACAAGTTTACACCAACACAGTGAATAAGTTACAAGTTCATGAGCCAATATGACAAAGTATTTACAAGAGTTCAGCAGCCAGAGTCGAAGCCGTTGAAATATTATCGCTCGTTAATGACCGAGTCGGCGAATAATTTCCTTCAGACGAGTAAGAGTCACAATTGTCGGGGAAAGACCCAAACCCCGTGATGGAAGGACAAATCATACTTCTATATACAGTACAATACATGATGGACACTGGTGCCAGGTTCAGGAGTTGGCTCAAACAACTCCCCTCCCCCCCGCCTTTTCTCACCAGATGCCACATTAGACTGAATCACATCAATTAGTGTCAACACCAACTGGTTCACTAACAACCCATACATAATCCTGCTGAGTGGTAAAACACCTCACTCGACCGCCTGTCATCAGTGTACCAGGACTAGTGACCTGTTAAGTGCAGGTAATCTACCATACATACAGTACAGTATAGTACTGTACTGTACTGATACTGTACTATACTGTACTATAGTTCCAGGTTTATGGAGTGCTGTGGCAACCAAGCAGCAGTCTGTGTACAATGGTGATTTTTTAAAAGTTCATTTAGCTTTTCCTTAATGGTTTTAGCTTCATTTTTCATCAACACTGTACAGTATACAAATGTTGTTTGAAGTACAGTAGTACAGTTGTTAAATAAGGCAGATGGCATGGTTTATGGTACAGGCAGTTGTGAGTTTGCTTCAGCCAACTGACTTAACATGTAGGCCATAACTCTACACTTGTGGGAATATTCTAACTTGGGTGTAGGCCATAACTCTACACTTGTGGGAATATTCCTTGTTTTTCAGTACAGTATTTTATATTAGTTTTGTGTCTGTAATAGTGCCAGAAGACTCGTCAGTATAGCCACATCCCCTCGCCAGGGAGTCAACAGCTGGGGCTTCTTTCTCAAACACTCGTTGCATTACACGCCAATCTCCCCCCATCCACTCAATACAAAAATCACTGTTTGTGCTTGTTCATGAGTTACAGCATTAGCACTTTGTCCACCCCACCATTCTTATCACTACCTTTTGCAGTCTGTCTGGGAGGGAGGCCACAGTATTATACACAATTTGTTGACGATTTCTGCGTAAACGCCGCCGCTCATCCTTTGTGTGCTGGAGGGGTGGCCGAGTCATAGTCCGTCTCCCACGACCTAATGATGGGGTTAAGATCACACCCTTTGCTCAGCCACTCCACAAGTTGTATGTCTGGTCAAAATCTTTACTCCCTCAAAAAAAAAAAACAGCTTTCTGAGGGATGATTTTTTTGTGGCCCAAATTTCACAGCTTTGAGCCAATTGCTGTCCGGGCACTGTTTAGATCATGGTGCCTAAATATGTGTATCTTAAGGTTACCCTTTAGTGCAAAAAGCATGCCACACACATCACACTTAAAGTTTTTAATATTGTTGTGCACAAGCATATGTCTCTCCAGAGAAATCTTCTGTGTAAACTGTTTCCCACATTCATCACATTTAAACTGTTTAATACCCTTGTGTGTAAAGCTGTGTTGCTTCAGATTACCCTTTAGAGTAAACTGTTTCCCACATTCATCACATTTAAAATTTTTAACACCTTTGTGCACAAGAATGTGTCGCTTGAGATGGCTGTTTTGTGTAAAATATTTACCACATTCATCACATTTAAAATTTTTAATACCTTTATGCACAAGAATGTGTTGCTTCAGATGGCTCTTTTGTGTAAAATCTTTGCCACATTCTTCACATTTAAAGTTTTTAATCCCATTATGCACAAGAATGTGTTGCTTCAGAGAACTCTTTTGTGTAAAATGTTTCCCACGTTCATCACAATTAATGTCATCTTCTTTACTTGACATTGTGAATCTCTTAGTTACACTTGGTCCTGGGATGTGACGTCACAGTGTCTGAAACAATATATTTTGCCTTAGGTAATATTGTCAACACATGAAGAGTCAACAGTAGAAGTTAAGACCTGGACCAACTTCTGCTGTTGACAGTACAGTATAGAACAGTCCTGTACAGTACAGTACTAAATTAAAATATTCTAAATGTAATTATAAAGGCTTAATTAAAGGTGATCATGACTTACACGAGAGTTTGGGTCAACTATACGACATACAACAGCCGTGGTTGTATAAAATATTTTTCAAAATACGTATTTTCGAGTCCTGACGTTAGTGATCGTGCTGTGTACTGACAAATTTTCGTTTGTAATTCCCTTTAAAATGGCTGGCAAGCTTAAAGTGAGAGTTCTTGTGGTGCTGAGAAGAAAAAGAAACACCCATTTTAGAATTTCTATGTATTATTTTCGCTTTTTCGACTTAAGACCTGGTCGTCGGGACGGAACCCCGTCGTAAGTCGAGGAGAGAATGTTTTGGCCAGTAGGGTTACAGCCGAGATAAGAAAACCAAAGAGAAATAATGAACTGAAGGTAGCAAGGGAGGTGAAGTCAAACCCCAAGGGATTCTATCAAATGTATCAAACTAAAACACGAGAAAAGATTGGACCAATACAGTCAGATACCGGCGAGCTGACTGATAATGACGGAGAAATGAGCAATAATCTGAATACATATTTTTCAACAGTTTTCACCACCACCGAAAATTTAAACATGTTACCCGAGGCACCGACTCTATACAGAGATAGTGAAGAAAATAAATTAAGCGAGATAGTAGTGACTAGTAACGATGTTAGTAAGCAAATAGACAAACTAAAGCCTAATAAGTCACCAGGTCCCGATGAGATATTTGCCAGAGTATTAAAGGAATGTAAGGAAGAGCTTAGTATGTCCTTAGCAAAGTTGTTTAACATGTCCTTAAAAACGGGTGTAGTACCAGAATCCTGGAGGATAGTGAATGTAATACCGATTTTCAAGAAGGGGGATAGATCACTATCCTCTAACTACCGTCCAATCAGTCTAACATCAATTGTAGGCAAATTACTGGAGGCAATCATTTCAAACCCAGAGAAGCACAAGTTCTGACAGTGAATCATGGTTCATTGATCAAGTTCTACTAACATAACTCATAAACTTCGTCCTTCACACCGACTCAACCATCAGTGATCACTCTTTGTGTTTCAGTGAACCAAAAGATATAAACCAAATCACACTCATTCCTCAACCTCTAGTCAGCTACTTGTTTGAAGTGTACAAGGTAAAGTTATTGTTTCAGTCATCCACCTAACCTAACCTAACCTACTAAAATTAGCTGGATGACAGAAACGATAACAACAACCACAGGAACAACACATTGCTCACCTCAGGAGCCATACTGGTTAAAACAGCAAGTTTACCTTATGTGATGTAGCCTGAGGGCCAGGGTGGCCACTATATTAAGGCCAGGGTGGCCACTATATTAAGGCCAGGTTGGCCACTATAAGGCCAGGGTGGCCACTATATTAAGGCCAGGTTGGCCACTATATTAAGGCCAGGGTGGCCACTATATTAAGGCCAGGTTGGCCACTATATTAAGGCCAGGGTGGCCACTATATTAAGGCCAGGGTGGCCACTATAAGGCCAGGTTGGCCACTATAAGGCCACTGGCCATCACTAAACAACACCACCTGGTTTGCTCCACCAATACAACACATTAACTCACCAATGGTCCAGGAGTCGTAAACAATACAGTTTGTTGTGACGCTCAGGCGGCCAAGCCAAGCCAGGGCCATTGTCTGTTATATCATTAATTTTACTTTTTATTTATAACTAAACAACTCAAAACTATTTAAACTATATTATATACAGTAAATAAGATTATTATTATTATATAAAATAATGTTTTATTCCATCAAAAAGCGATATATTAATTATAAACAAACGTTAAGTCAGCGGCAGGACAATCGGACAAGAGAGTCAAGGAACACAGACAGGTGACGTAACTCTCCTCTAACACCATTATCATCTCCTTGGCTGTGACGTCATAGAAAACCTTTAGCCTGCTTGGGTAACTATGGTAAAATGTTCTAAGTCAAAAAAAATGGACAAAATTAAATGGTGTTCAGGGAAGCTCAAACCAGGGGCAGGGATTAGATAGAATATATGAAACTAAACGGAAAACCAATAAAATAACTACAAATAAATGATAGATGATAAGATAAGAGGAAGTGAGGGTTACAAACAACTTAAATATGCAAATAAGATTAACTAAATAGATAAAACAATTAGGAATGTAATGAAGAAATAACTTGTGTTTAATCGAAATGTCCTTAAACATGACCAAATTAAATCAGGTTTAGGTAGGTTATTTTTTTTTAAACATGAAAAATTAAACCTCAGCAACGAGATGATGAACGTAACACACAGACGAATCCCACTGAGCTGAGGGCGTGAGGGAGCAGTCAGCGTGGGCGTGCGAAGAGGCCGTCATCGTGGGTGTGGGGGTGCTCTAGCCCTGACCGTGATATCCTAACAGGAAGTGGGCGTGACAATGAAGTGATTATTTACCCTGTACTGGTTCTCGACAAACACACAGGCAACAGGTCGGCACTGCCAGGTCTTAGCTTTTTTCTTGTAACTTTTTTTTTACATCTAGAAGCAATTTTAAATGCTTTTCAATTAATGAGAATTTTCAAGTATTATAAAAGAAATATTAATGTAAAATAGGAAGTTTTATCAGAACTGATCAAAGATTCGAACAAAACAAAGCGAATTATGTATTGAATTCCTGTCAGAAGTCCAGTTGAGTGACCTTAGCGTGACACTCATCCCGCCGCTGACCTTAGCGTGACACTCATCCCGCCGCTGACCTTAGCGTGACACTCATCCCGCCGCTGACCTTAGCGTGACACTCATCCCGCCGCTGACCTTAGCGTGACACTCATCCAGCCGCTCATGTGGAAAACATCTTTAGTCATATTAATATTGTCAAGTCAAATCTTTGAAACAGACTTAGCATAGAAGTTGTCGTTAGGATTATAAACTACCTAAGGAAGTGTTGAAAAGCATTGGGTCATTAAAGACATATCAGTCATCTCAACCACGTGACCTGCAACAACCTGAAAATGACCTGGGACAAAATAAAGAGATTGTACATTGTGAATTAACAGATCTGGACTAATGGTGAGTATTGTTAAACCATTTATACCAGTAATATTTGTATAATTTATCATAACTAATTCCTAACACTTTTAATTACCTTCTTTTATTAGTTTAGCTGCCAGGAATACTGTCTTCTGATTGGCTGTTCGTCATCTGGCTGGCTGTTTATTTTCCGATTGGCTGTTTGTCTTCTGATTGGCTGATTATCTTCTGATTGGTTGTCTTCTGATTGACTGATTGTCTTCTGATTGGCTGTTTGTATTCTGATTGACTACTTGTCTTGATTGGCTTTTTGTCTTCTGATTGGCTGTTTGTTTTGATTGTATGTCTTCTGATTGGTTTACTTCTGACTGACTGTCCTCTGATTGACTATATCTTCTGATTGGCAACATGTTCTGATTGGCTATCTTCTGATTGGCTATATCTTCTGATTGACTATTCATCCTCATATCAACTAATTTCAACCTTATTACCATTAACAAAAAATAAATAAAAAATAAATTACGTCAATTATAAATACAAACCAATTATCTTTCAAATTTAACCTCTAATTAATTAATCATACATGCAAAAGACACATAGTAATTAATATACTAAATGATATGTATAGAAATGTGTATTTATTTATACATAGTGTAATTAAAGTATTAGTAAATGGTGTTGAAGTTATGTATACAAGGTTAAAATTCAGTAATGCAATGCAGGTATACAGTTCAGTGGTGGGTGGAGGGTGACATATGAATGGAGATGGAGGAATGGTGGTGATAGTGGTAGTGGTGGTAGTAGTAGTGGTGGTGGTGGTGGTGAAGGAGCAGGTGGAGTAGTAGTAGGAGGAGGAGGAGGAGAGGAGGAGGTATATAACAGACACACACACACACACGCGCCCATCAGTCGAACACAAACCTTTACAGATTCAACATGAAGTGTCAGAAACTGGTGTTGACAATCACTCTGGTGGTAATGGCAGTGTGTGTCAGGTAACTACTGCATATATCGGTGTAATTATCCAGGTGTCAGTGTAATCATCCAGGTATCAGTGTAATTATCCTGGTGTCAGTGTAATTATCCAGGTGTCAGTGTAATTATCCAGGTGTCAGTGTAATTATCCAGGTATCAGTGTAATTGTCCAGGTATCAGTGTAATTATCCAGGTATCAGTGTAATTATCCAGGTATCAGTGTAATTGTCCAGGTATCAGTGTAATTATCCAGGTATCAGTGTAATTATCCAGGTATCAGTTGTAAGCTTGTAGTCCCCTCGTGTTGGCCAGCTTGTAGTCCCCTCGTGTTGGCCCATAGGTCTCCCAGCCTCTGTGTGAAGACGTGTTCCTTTATGATTGTTCTGCCTGATAACTTGGCAGCTTGTAGCCCTCGTGTTGGCCAGCTTGTAGTCTCCTCGTGATGGCCAGCTTGTAGTCCCCTCGTGTTGGCCAGCTTGTAGTCCCCTCGTGTTGGCCAGCTTGTAGTCTCCTCGTGTTGGCCAGCTTGTAGTCCCCTCATGTTGGTGGTGCGGGACATCACAAAATAATGTCCCAGGTTCACGTTTTCCTCCCCTCAGTCTACTTGGATAAGCTAGAGTACTTAGCTCAAGGGATCATCTTAGTGGCTCTGTATTGCAACTTTATAGGGATGTTAGGGTCTTGTCAGGGTCTTATTGGAGGTAGGGTCTCCATGCCTGTATACAGTAATCCAAACTGGAGCATACTTGAGGTTAGAACAGGATAAGGAGCATTTTATCATCTCTATTCGAAGGCACGGTTGATCATTTTACTAATTCCGTATGTATCAATATTATTTTAGTTGGTAAGTAATAATATCATTGAAACATATATTATGATACGTAAATAATGTCAAGTTAGAGTTTAAATCAAATAATAGTTCCTGATCTGACATTTTCTAATTGTTTTTTGTGAAATTTTTGCAAGAATTGGGGGAAAATTTTGTTTCAGGAAGGTGTTTTGATGAGCAGAAAATACAATTAAAGGTACATATATCTTCAGCCTTCACTCATAATACTGTACCATCAATCTTTCAAAATTATACTGTATCTTGCTTACAGTCATTTATGTAACTTGGGATTTTGTTGATACATTTACAACTAAAATAAGAATGTAAAAGTTAAATACATAACAACAAAATACACTCCTACTCTATTACTAAGAGACGAGTATGATAATTGTGGTATTTTGAGATTTAATTTAACTACACTACTCAATACTGTACCACCATTACCAACACCTTAACACCACTAACGTCATAACTACCACTACTACCACTACTACTACCACCACTACTACCACCACTACCAACTACCCCCACCACCCCTACACACTCCCAACTAATCGCCTATTTCTCTCCACATCAGGATCGAGGCCGTACACTGCTCTTGTCAGAACGCCAAATGCACTGGTTTAGATCCCAATGACTGCCCTAACGGAACCACTAAAGATATGTGCGAGTGCTGTACCGTCTGTGCTGGGGTTAGTTCACTAGTACTATATGTTCTGTGGGGTGGGGTGGGGCGGGGTGGGTGGTGGGGTGAGGCGGGGTGGGGAGGTGGGGTGGGGCGGGGCGAGTGAGGTGGGGTGAGGTGGGGGTGGGGTGGGGTGGGGTGAGGTGGGGCGGGGTGGGGGTGGGGGGATGGGTCTGATCCAGTGTAATTCATATTTACGCATTAATAATGAACAACCAAGAATCCCTGGTGTCTAGACCTGCCCTATTCACCAGGAAGTTCCAATACTTTTTCTTTAATGCAGTATTGTAGAGTCAGGTGTTTTTGTCTAGTAAAAAGTATTTACCAAGACAACCTTCCCCAACAGGGCCCAGGGGAGGAGTGTGGAGGCCCCTGGCATATTTACGGTGACTGTGGTAGCGGTCTCGAGTGTCACCAGGAAACTTGTCCTCCAGATATTGCCGATGCTGAGTGTTACCTCCATTACCTCACTGGTCAGTATTTCACCTCACTGCTCACCATTATTCTCACCAGTCTTGATCACCATTATCTCACCACACCAGTCAATATATACATCACCAAGCTAATCATTCACATCCCCTCAAAAATTCGATCAGGCTTTGTAAGAGAACGTCCCTCGAGAACTAAGGGCATCAATTACTGCACCATGTTTAATTAACCATAGATCAAGTTTGATAAGCTAAGATACAGGAGTCTGATCTGTTAATATACCTACGATAATAAACTTACCAGAGACTTACAAAATACACACATTAACACTGTGTTTTTTGTGTTATACTAGTCAACAGTGTAACCTCTATATAATGGACTTCTCTATATATATAATCCGTTAGATGAGGGTTTCACATCTAACAGAACCTCGATATAATGGATTTTTATCTCTAAATAGTTCGTTATATAGAGATTTCACATTTAATGGAACCTCGTTATAATAGACTCTCCTCTCCGTATGACCCACTAAATCAATATATTACCGTACAGAACCCGGCGAGTGTGTTCAGAAGAAACACTCCTTCCTCGACTTCTTCTCTAAGACCAATAAAGCCGGCCTGGAGGAGGTCAGAGAACGCCGCCGTCTCCGCCTTCTGCACGAGTTGGAAAAACTGAAGAAGTAAATGCAGCTGGTATGAGGTTGTAGGGGGGTTGTAGTTATGGTTATTGTAGAAAGTTGTGGAGGTTGTAATGGCTATTGTAATGTAAATGACGATATATCTGACATGAGTTTCTGAAAGTTGTAGTTTGAGGTATTGTTGATATTGTAGGAAGTTGTGAAAGTTGTAATCATTATTTTAAAGAAACGTAAATAAAAATATATATGATGGGCTTTAAAAAAAGGTTGTAGTTTGGTTAATATTACTATTGTCAAAAGTTGTGACACTGTTGTAGAAAAAAAAACACAAATATAGTCATTAATTCAGCTAATAACCCCAGAATCCATTTAAACTAATTATCTTAATATACCATAATAATCCAACTCAGAAGATATAAAAAAATATACACTTTTCTGTAAATTTATTGTACCGAATGTTTCTATGACAATAAATATTCTATAACAAATTGCTTCCTTTATGGTATCAAATTTTTTTACAACATCAGGTCCCTAGAAACACAACTTGACTCTCTAAGACTCATATATGACTTAATGACGGTAAAACACTGACCATGTATAGACCTTCTGTTATGGGTGTGTTAGTAGTATATCCTAAGTTAACATAAGCTAGGATCCACATAAATGTTAATTGTGTATTCTAAGTTAACATGACAACATTTTTTTTATCATATCTGTAAAGACAAGAATAGGTTATATATTGCCAAGTTCCAGGGGTTTGATCAGAGCTGTAGCCGTCTAGGTAGGGTACAGATACAGGTGTGTGTTACATCACCACAACCTCAAAGAAAAACCCAAATTACCCTATTCTAACTTTTAATAAATAACAATATGTGTTTAGTAAATAGCTATATAATATTACACAATGGACCACGTAAGAATGATTTCAATTATAATCTACTAAACCCCCCATGTACAGTGTCGCTTCCGTGCCAAATAAAATCACCTGACGTTATCCGGATCAAATATCAACAGTGGCGTCCCTGTAGTGGAGGTGTTAATGATCTAATTCACTATATAAAAAATAAATAAAATACTCTGTAAAGAAGTAAAATTATTAATGCTTTCACCCATTCCTAAAAAGGTAAACTCCCACGATAAATATCCTCCCCTACTATAGGATCCTCCCCTACCATAGGAAACCTTCTCTACCATAGGATCCTCCCCTACCATAGGAAACCTTCTCTACCATAGGATCCTCCCCTACCATAGGATCCTCCCCTACCATAGGAAACCTTCTCTACCATAGGATCCTCCCCTACCATAGGATCCTTCACTACCACAGGAAACCTTCTCTACCATAGGATCCTCCCCTACCATAGGATCCTCCCCTACCACAGGAATCCTTCACTACCATAAAGATCCTCCCATAATAATCCTTCACTCCTTGGCAACACTGTACCCTAACTGGTTGATGTGAGACTTATAAAACTTTCCAATTATCAATAAATCAATCCCCACTATGGCGGTCTTTTAAACCCTGTAATAAAGTCTTTGAGATATTATATATGTTAGTTAGGGAGAAATACTATATAGAAATATTATACCATGTTATAAATATCTTTTGTTTCTTGATATAGTGAATTGAGGTACTTTAATGTGTCTATGGGTTATATTAATGTACTGTACTGTGTTGTGTTGTGTATACAGTGACAGTACAGTGCTGACATTGCCTGCTCACACACACTCTCTCTCTCTCTCTCTCTCTCTCTCTCTCTCTCTCTCTCTTCACATATACTGTACCTTAAAAAATATAAGATCAAATCCCACAAAAACCGGAAAATGAGGAATGGAAATAAATTAACGTCTTAAGATATTAACCAAAAGAACCGAATGGGGATAAAATTGTCTTAAATATCAATAAATAAATTAAAAAAACACGATTATATGAATGTTAAAACTAATTTGATTCTATAGATGGATATACAACCATGTCTGTGTGTGTGTGTTAAGAAGCTCAATTGTCTACTTTTTACCGTTCTGTTGTCAAAGTTTATAATGTACTGTACTGAGTTAACAATACGTCACCAACAAGTCTCACCATCACCCAGACTATATCACCTTAACCCATTCCAATAGTATTATGGCGACCACTCCACTAAAATATTACAGCACCCATTACATCAGACACTACTATGGTAATCACTATAATTTTACACCATCCATTACACTACACACTGTATTATGGTAATTTTTATCTACAATATTATAACACAGAATCATTACAACATTACAGAGACTAACATACAGTACTGGACACGCTTCTGTCGACAAGATTTCATTAGTGGTTAAATAAACTCCTCTTTCAATATACCTTAGTTGTTCTGTGGCTCTCCTACCCACAATGGCGTCTACACCTCATAAATCCTGTACTGAAGGCGATGTATCCTACCCTAACACAGTAATCTGCTTCCTGACTCAACCTCCAGCTCTCACTAGTCCTGAAATATCGGTAAACGTAAGGAAGAAATAATTAAACTACACTTAATAGTTGTGAGTTTGTTTCTATAATCATAAACTTCCAAAGTATAAAAGAAAATTAATGTTTGTTTTTGTCGTGTTCCTCGCTGTAGAGGTTATCATTGTGGGGAGGTATGGACGATGATTATCAAAATGAACGCCGCGACTCCTGGTGTCTCGTGGGGTCGTCAAAATCCTTCGGCCGTTGTGTTATATTGTCTCACATAAAATCATACACATATGATAGTTTCCGGACCATATTTATACTCGATACAGCGACTGGCAAGTGTTGAGAAATGTGGCAATTCTGTGTTCATTTACATCGTATTAACACTCCCAGAATGGCCCCTAAGGAACCTCACAATAATAACCAAACTAATGACGCTCAATAAACCGTCCGCACAGTTGCCACATCTCAAAAAACCCACCAGCCCCTTGTACCAGGTATGTGTAAGCAACTGTACATTTCCCAGCCAAGCTAATTCCTCGACAGTAAAAGCCAGAATGACGTATTGGAACAGTTACCAGAACCCACACACAAGTTCTAAGTTACATCACATCAAACAACTGGAAGAATACGTCAGGTTCTAAAGTAAACAACGGCATTACAACATAACTTTACGATGTCATCTCACTTGGCCAACTGTCTATTTTATCCGATTTTTACCATCTTAGTTAAATGATCAGGTTAGGTTAAGTCAGGTCAGGTTAGATTAGGTTAGGTTACGTTTGGTTAAGTTAGGTTAGGTTTGGTTTAATTATTTCTGAACCGCATTAAGAGTGCTTAATCACCGCGTACAATAAACTATTCTGCTAATCTTCACTTAACCCAGAACCAAGTTGATAGATTGAACAATGAACACCACAGTCAAGAAGAACACAGTGAACATCAAAGCCAGAAATATGAACAGGTAAGACACATATGAACAAGTTATCCGGAGAACATTACTTGCCTCGGAACATTGGCAGAACAATTTGTGATATGTTAGGTTAGGTTGAGGTTAGGTTAGGTTCATATACGGGTAAAAATGTGGATATCTAAGTCTTTGGGGAAAAGGAAAATGTTAACAAGTAAGAGTACAAAGCTCAGAAATCCACAGCAAGAGTCCAGAGTCCACAGCAAGAGTCCAAAATCCACATCAAGAGTCCAGAGTCCACATCAGGAGTCCCGAGTCCACAGCAAGAGTCCAGAGTCCACATCAAGAGTCTAAATTCCACATCAAGGACTCATCATCACCGAGGGCCGAGTCACGTGCTTCTCATGGGACGCGCTCATATAGTTTTGGTCATGGCCACCAGGAGGAGGTCGTGTGGTAAGGAGGCGAAGGGCTGCCTGCCGCGGTAGATGAAGGAGGACACCCGTACAGCACCCCGTCTCTGGTACCCCAAGTAGTTCTCACACAACAGCTGTAAAACATGGTCCCAGTGTTAACAGTATAGTGTATATGATGGATGGTCAGGTACAACAACTACTATTATTATTATTACTACTACTACTAATATTATTACTACTATTACTACTACTACTACTACTACTATTACTATTACTCCTACTACTACTGCACTACTTTGAAAAACAATCCCTACAGTTACCAGGCCATTACTTTTAACAACTCAATACTGACGAGAGAGAGAGAGAGAGAGAGAGAGAGAGAGATCAACACCTGATTGAGAGGGTTTGAGTTGACTGTGAAGACTCCATAATACATCTTGGTCTGTGCCACCCTCAGTAGTTCCTTCTCCAGGTGTAAGGCCAGGCGCACGTTGTCCTGTAGGAGGGGAGAAGGTCAGTTAAGTTCAGGCCAGTTCAGGTCAGGTCAGGTCACAGTGGATAATGACTGGGTTTATGAATAGATGGAACGGAACATGATTCTGGGCGTTAGAAGGAGGGTGGATGGGTGGCGACCTGTGGTGTAATGGTCAGCATGCTCGCCTCACAAGCGACTGGTTCCAGGTTCGGTCCCCGGGCAGGGTGAAACTATGGTCAAGTTTCTTTACGTCATTTGCCTCTGTCTACCCAGCAGTAATTGGGGACCTGGATGTTAATCGATTTGTGGATCGTGTTCCGGGGTAATGGTTAGCCAGTGCAGTTGGTGAGTTGTCCGGTCTTCTCGGACTATTCCTTGACACTGGGTCATGCAGCTAGTTAACTCAGGGTGTGGTTGTTGTGTTGGCGACAGCTTCTACACCTTAAACACTGGGTCATGCAGCTCGTTAACTCAGGGTGTGGTTGTTGTGTTGGTGACAGCTTCTACACCTTAAACACTGGGTTATGCAGCTCGTTAACTCAGGGTGTGGTTGTTGTGTTGGTGACAGCTTCTACACCTTAAACACTGGGTCATGCAGCTCGTTGACTCAGGGTGTGGTTGTTGTGTTGGTGACAGCTTCTACACCTTAAACACTGGGTCATGCAGCTCGTTAACTTAGGGTGTGGTTGTTGTGTTGGTGACAGCTTCTACACCTTAAACACTGGGTCATGCAGCTCGTTAACTCAGGATGTGGTTGTTGTGTTGGTGACAGCTTCTACACCTTAAACACTGGGTCATGCAGCTCGTTAACTCAGGGTGTGGTTGTTGTGTTGGTGACAGCTTCTACACCTTAAACACTGGGTCATGCAGCTCGTTAACTTAGGGTGTGGTTGTTGTGTTGGTGACAGCTTCTACACCTTAAACACTGGGTCATGCAGCTCGTTAACTCAGGGTGTGGTTGTTGTGTTGGTGACAGCTTCTATACCTTAAACAAAATCATGCCTAGGTGGCCCTTGGGCCGGTCAATGGCCATTCTTATTACACGAGGGGCAACCATTATTGTATACATGAAGGTAAGTGTTGGAGGGTTACCTGAGGTCTGAGGGAGGTACTGGTGGCAAGGAAGAGGTTATGGACCCAATGAGTAGTTCTGTTTCTGGCTTCCTGCTGTAGCTGCTGTCTGGCCTCCTCCTCCAGTGGTTCATGTAGGGCAGCGATCTCCTCCATACTGGCCGGCACCTGTACCTGCAACACCACACACACGTTAATGAGATCAGTATGGGATCAGTGCATGAACGCATCATCTACCCCACACACACACACACACACACACACACACACACACACACACACACACACACCTACCTGGGGTTCATTAAAGAAGTCTGTGTTGATTACTGCCCCTAAGATGCCTCGCTGTGGGTCCTTCACCACGAAGCTGAGGTCGTCCTTGACCAGGCGGGGCCACAGGGCGTTGAGGAGGCTGCGGTGTGCGGCCCGAGGCACCTTCATGGTTACGTCCAGTGGGTTCTTGGTGGTGAAGCTCTCGGCTACCATTTCAATGACTGTGTGTTTGTCGACCCCCTGAAATAATACAAGGCGGTCAGAATATTCTCCTTTATGCCCTGAAATAACACAAGGTCAGAAGATGCTCCTCCACACCCTGAAATACTGTATTGTGATCATATTATGCTCATCTACTCTCTGAAATAACACAACAAGGTCAGAATATGCTCCTTTATGCCCTGAAATAAGAACAAGGTCAGAAGATGCTCCTCCACACCCTGAAATACTGTATTGTGATCATATTATGCTCATCTACTCTCTGAAATAACACAACAAGGTCAGAATATGCTCCTTTATGCCCTGAAATAACAAAGGGAGGTCAGAATATGCTCCGTTATGCCTTGAAATAACAAAAGGAGGTCAGAATATGCTCCTTTATGCCCTGAAATAACACAAAGAGGTCAGAATATGCTTCTTACAGGACAGGTTACAGTACAGGTTGGATATTACAGTATAAGTCCCAGGTTGATGATCTGACTTTCTGCCTCATTTACACAGGTCTCTCAATTGTTTCTGACAAATACAACAAATACAACACAACACAACACACTACAACACAACACAAATACACACAACACAACACAAATACAACACAACACAAAACAACACAACACACTACAACACAAATACAAATACACCATAACACAACATAACATAACACACTACAACACAACACATAACATATAACACACTACAACACACATAACACAACACAACATAACATACAACATACCACAACATAACACAACATAAATACAACACAACACAACATAACACAACATAACATAACACAACATAACATAACACAACACAAACACAACACAACACAACACAACACAACACAAATACAACACAAAACAAACACAAATAACCATATATATATTGTTTCTCACTCTTGAATTTTTTTTCATTTTTGATTTTTATGGTTCTTTATTATTATTTTTATTATTATTATTAGTAGTAGTAGTATTATTATCATTATTATTATTATTATTATTACATTTTCGCCCCCAGGCCCTGATGTGTTGGCCCTGCCTGGGTGGATCTAATCCCTCTGCAAAACAAAAAAGGTTACAATACAGGCACTTCTATTTCTGCCACTTGCCTCCAGAGTGAGACAAGAATCATCACTTTTACAGGAATTGTTTACATTACTGTGATTGAGGGGGTCCCAAGTATAGGCACCCCAGTTTATAGTTTGCTTCACCTGGGGGTTATATTGGGTTAGGTTAGGTTAATTTAGGTGACATTAGGTTAAGTTAGTATTAGGTCAGGTTATTAGTATTAGGTTAGGTTAAGTCAGCATTAGGTTAGGTTACATACGATTTGGTTAGGTTAGGTTAAGTTACCATAGCTAACCCTAAACTCGCAGCTTACACACGACTCACCTGGGACACCGGCAGAGTGTGGAGGTGAGCCAATCGGATATTCTTCGTCTTAGTGTTCGGCCCCTGAGGCAAGCTGGCGGCACACATGGGCAGGTCAGGGTGAAGCGCTGGGATGATTACACCACCTCCTCCTCCTCCTCCTCTCCTCCTCCTCCTCTCTGCTGGTGACGGAGGACCGGGAGGGGGTAGAGGAAGGAATAGCAGGGGAAGGCGAACAGAAAAGATTCATTACCTCTGCCATTGTCTTGGCCTGTGGGAGGAAACGCGGTAATGAGGGTGGTGGTGGTGGTGGTGGTGGTGGTGGTGGTGGTGGTGGTTGTGGTGGTGGTGGTGGTGGTGGTGGTGGTGGTGGTGGTGGTGGTGGTGTGGTGGTGGTGGTGGTGGTGGGTGGTGGTGGTGGTGGTGGATGTGGTGGTTGTTGTGGTGGTGGTGGTGGTGGTGGTGGTGGTGGTGGTGGTGGTGGTGGTGGTGGTGGTGGTGGTGGTGGTGGTGGTGGTGGTGGTGGTGGTGGTGGTGGTGGTGGTGGGGGTGGTGGAGGTGGTGGTTGTGGTGGTGGTGGTGGAGGTGGTGGTGGTGGTGGGTGGTGGTGGGTAGGGTGGTGGTGGGGTGATATGGTGGGTGGTGGAGGAGGTGGTGGTTGTTGTGGTGGTGGTGGTGGTGGTGGTGGTGGGGTGGTGGTGGTGGTGGTGGGTGGTGGGGTGGTGATGGTGGTGGTGGTGAGTAGTGGTGGTGGTGGTGGTGGTTGGAGGTGGTGGTGGTGGTGGTGGTGGTGGTGGTGATGGTGGTGGTGGTGTGGTGAGGTGGTGGTGGTGGTGGTGGGGTGGGTGGTGGTTGTTGTGGTGGTGGTGGTGTGGTGGTGTGGGGTGGTGGTGGGGTGGTGGTGGTGGTGGTTGTTGTGGTGGTGGTGGTGTGGTGGTGGTGGTGGTGGTGGTGGGGTGGTGGTGGTGGGTTGGTTGTTGTGGTGGTGGTGGTGGTGGTGGTGGTGGTGGTGGTGGTGGTGGTGGTGGTGGTGTGTGGTGGTGGTGGTGGTGGTGGTGGTGGTGGTGGTGGAGGTGGTGGTTGTTGTGGTGGTGGTGGTGGTGGTGGTGGTGGTGGTGGTGGTGGTGGTGGTTGTTGTGGTGGTGTGGTTGTTGGTGGTGGTGGTGGTGGTGGTGGTGGTGGTGGGGTTGTTGTGGTGGTGGTGGTGGTGGTGGTGGTGGTGGTGGTGGTGGTGGTTGTTGTGGTGGTGGTGGTGGTGGTGGTGGTGGTGGTGGTGGTGGTGGTGGTGGTGGTGATGGTGGTGGTGGTGGTAGTGGTGGAGGTGGTGGTGGGTGGAGGTGGTGGTTGTTGTGGTGGTGGTGGTGGTGGTGGTGGTGGTGGTGGTGGTGGTGGTGGTGGGTGGTGGTGGTGGTGGTGGTGTGGTGGTGGGTGGTGGTGGGTGGTGGTGGCGGTGGTGGTGGTGGTGGTGGTGGTGGTGGTGGTGGTGGTGGTGGTGGTGGTGGTGGTGGTGGTTGTTGTGGTGGTGGGGGGTGACTCAACTAGATCTTGTGTTTCACGTTCGCTGTTAATTTAAAGGGTCTTGTTTTTTTTTTGGGGGAGGAGAGGAGGGGGGGGTCATGTGTTGATTAGCATGACCCAGTTTGTTTTTAACCGTGAAATTAATGCTGCTAATACTAATCTAATGGTAATCTAACCTAAACTAACATTATTTTAACAGTGTGTGTATCCTAACCTAACCAAAAGCTAACCTTTAAGATATCATTGACCACTTCCCCAATAGTGGCAGCTTTAAGGAAGGCATCAAGGGTCACATCCAAACCCAGCTCTCGCAGGCGCACCACCACGCCCACTGAAGTAATGCTCGTGCCTCCCAAGTCGAAGAAGTTCCTCTGCAGTATGTCGTGAGAGCGTCCTACCCCGAGAGCACCGCAGATAATACGTAGTACTCGCGATTCAATGGGTTCTTCCTTCTGCAGGTTAGAGGTAAGCGTTAGTTTATTTCACCTGGTGATTAGATGCCCTAGTTTACCTGGTGATTAGATGCCCTAGTTTACCTGGTGATTAGATACCCTAGTTTACCTGGTGATTAGATACCCTAAAGAGAGAGAGAGAGAGAGAGAGAGAGAGAGAGAGAGAGAGAGAGAGAGAGATATTAGAGAATGACAGAAAGAAGAAAAAAGAAAGAATTAATTATAAGAAAAATAAATAAATAAATAAAAAGAAAAAAGTAAATAAAAGAAAAATAAAGAAATTAAATAAAAAATAAACATCTCGACGCGAAATAATTAAATAAAATTCCATCTCGATCTATAATTCCTCCATAAACAGAATCCTTCCCGCACTAACTTCGGGGACACAACTTGTAATGGCAAAATTAGTGGCGCTTTCACCTGTAACTCGCTCCATTGTCCAGGTAAAAGGTGTCGTTAATTAACAAGGAAAAAGGTATGGTAATTCACTACTGTATGGTTTTTAATTAATAAGATTCATAACTGCACAAATTTTAACCAATAAATTTCACAACAGCAGATTTTTGGAGCAAGAAATTCATAAGTGGACAGTTTTTAATAATCCTGGGTCGTCCCTTAGTGAGTTAAGAGGGAGAATGAGAGCGTAATATTGCTGAGCCCTTAAGACTGATAAGACGCCTAGGAGTCTTATGAGAGAGAGAGAGAGAGAGAGGGTCTTATTAAATGTGAGAGAGAGGGTCTTATTAAATGTGACAGAGAGAGTGTGATATAAACAGAGAGAAAGACAGAGAGAGAGAAAGGAGGCAGACAGACACAGACAGACAGACAGACATACCCTCAAGATAAGAATGTTATCACGGGAACTGCGGTGAGGCATGCGTCGACGGTACAGACGCAAGAGATTCTGACGGTCGACTTTACCGCTGGGAAGATGCGGCAAGGCGTCCACCACCACTAGCCGCGGCACGGTCACCTGCGGCAAGTAGTTCCGCAGGCATCTCACCAAGTCTTCCGTTATTGGTGTGTCGCGATCCTCAAATTCTGCCTTCAATACCTGTAGGGGCGAAGGAGGTGTGGTGAGGTGTGGTGAGGGGAGGTGTGGGTGGAGGTGGGGGATGTGAGGGGGAGGTGAGGGGCAGTGGGGGTGGTGGGGTGAGGTGGGGATGTGTATTGCACCACAAAGGCCACCAAGTACGTGATCAACAGTTCCTTCGTCAGCGTCCTGTTCCGTGGCTGCCAGGGACACAGTGACTCTCCACATACCTGTAGAAGGCGGTGAAGAGTCAGTACCTAGTGTGGAGGGAGGGAGAGAGGGAGGAGGGAGGTGAGGGAGAGAGGGAGAGGGGAGGGGAGGGAGGGAGGGAGGGTGGGAGGGAGGGAGGGAGGAGGGGAGGGGAGGGAGGGGAGGGGAGGGGAGGGAGAGGTGGGGAGAGGGGGGAGGGGAGGAGGGGAGAGGAGGGAGGGGAGGGGAGGGGAGGGGAGAGGGAAGAAGGGAAAGGTGGAGAGAGGAGAGGGGAGGTGGAGGGGTGGGAGGAGAGGGAGAGGAGGAGAGGGAGAGAGGAGGGGAGGGGAGACGGGAGAGGGGAGGGGAGGGAGGGGAGAAGGAGGATAGAGGAGAGGGAGAGAGGAGGGGAGAGGAGAGGGGAGAGGGGAGGGAGAGGAGAGGTGAGAGAGGTGAGAGGGAGAGGAGAGGAGGGGAGAGGGGAGAGACAGCCCCATAAGACTATCAATCACAGGTTAAAAGGACCTCACGCCGGGGGGGGGTGAGGCCTGTTGTCAGGGAGAGGAGAGAGGAGGAAGGAAGGAAGGAAGGAAGGAAGGAAGGAAGGAAGGTCATCACTCAGCCAACATCCTATCAAGGAATTTATTACTGTACTTATTATTAAAGAGAGAGGGAGGGATTTCTTGAGTATATCAGAAAAACACAACACAACACAACACAACACAACCCACAACTCACCCGGTCCTGTAGACAGCATCCTCCACCTCCGCCAGACCCACCCGGACGCCACACACCTTCACCTGAGTATCGCGACGCCCTTCAAACACCAGCTGACCGCCCACCACCCTGCCTATGTCTCCTGTTCTGTACACCATCATGTCTTTCTGTTGCACCTCCACGCCCACCTGTTGCACCTCCTCTACGCCCTCCTGTTGCACCTCCCCCACGCCCGTCTGTTGCACCTCCACGCCCACCTGTTGCACCTCCTCCACGCCCTCCTGCTGCACCTCCTCCACGCCTCCTGTTGCACCTCCACGCCCACCTGTTGCACCTCCACGCCCTCCTGTTGCACCCTCTACGCCCACCACACCTCCTCTACGCCCACCTGTTGTATCTCCACGCCCACCTGTTGCACCTCCACGCCCTCCCTGTTGCACCTCCACGCCTACCTGTTGCACCTCCACGCCTGCCTGCTGCATCTCCACGCCCTCCTGTTGCACCTCCACGCCCTCCCGCATCACTACGCCCACCTGTGCACCTCCACTACGCCCTCCTGTTGCACCTCCACGCCCACCTGTTGCACCTCCACTACGCCCTCCTGTTGCACCTCCACGCCCACCTGTTGCACCTCCACGCCCACCTGTTGCACCTCCACGCCCGTCGTCGAGGTAGTGGTGTCCTCGACTCTCGGTCTCGTCTCCCTGGCTGGTCTCGTCGAGGTCTTTGAGGGACTGACTGAGGAGTTCACCGTCGTCGTCGCCGTCATCGTCTTGGAGTGAGGTTCTGACGTCTTAGAGCTCGCTGAGGAGGTGGCCGTCTTGTGAAGCGCCCTTGGAGGTACTGGGGGAGGTGTTGATGTTCTGGGAGGGACGGCTGGGGGCGTGGTGGTCCTTCCTGATGGTGTTGGTGTGGTCTTGGGGCGAGTGGCTAGGGCTGGAGGGGTCTTGGTGAAGCTACTCGGGCAGGTCTTCTGTCGGGGGAGTTTAGGGCTGCAGGAGGTGGAGGGCGTCGTGCTCTGTCGCTCAATGTGTCGGACGGATGACGTGTGTGTTGCTGGTCTCGTGTGTGTTGCTGGTCTCGTGTGTGTTGCTGGCCTCGTGTGTGTTGCTGGCCTCGTGTGTGTGAGTTTACCGTCTGGTTTGGTCTCGTGCTTACCATTATGGATGTGGTCTGGCCGGTGATGGTTCTGAGGTGCCGCGTCTGTGTGGTCATCACCTTCACCACCGCAGATCTTGTTGATGTAGTCATGAAGGATGTCCCTGTGTTTGTCGTGTTTTATTACTATAGAAGACACGGGAAGGAAGGAGGAAGAGTTCTCCTCCTTGTACAGTTCACCTCGGAGGTAGCCACAGCAGACATTCTTACCCAGTACCGCAATCTCACCTGACTGGTCCTCCTCCGCCAGACACAGAGCGTTACCCTCCTGCCGCAGTACCATGAGGGCCGTGTTGGATACCGGGTACCCCACAGGCACCTTCACCCCCGCCCTCCAGTTGTTCTCCTCGATGGGGAAGTAAGACACGTCGCCCGTCACCTCCGTCGAGCCGTATAAGTTGATGAACCTACTGTCGGGGAACATGGCGAAGAAGTCGTTAATGAGCCATCCAGGGAGCGTCTCGCCGCTGGTAATCCAGATGTGGATGAACCTGTGGAGGAACTTGATGGACTCCTTGGTAGTGTTGAGGTACAGCAGCAGTAACTTGAGGAGCGAGGGCACCACCACCAGGCGCGTCACCCTGTGTTGACTGACGTACTTGATCAACAGCTCCGGGTTGACTGCTGCCTCCTTCACCACCACCACAGGTACGCCCCCCAGCAGCGGCCCGAACACCTCCGTCACAGAGTCCACGAAGGTCAGGGACTTGGACATGAGGCAGATCTCGTTACTTTTATAAGGCAGCTCCTTCCACTGCCAGTGTATGCGGTTCATGAGGTTGTTCATCGTCAGCTGGACGCCCTTGGGGTTACCTGTACTGCCGGAGGTGTAGAGGACACACGCCACCTCCCCCGCCCTGGGTGTTAAGTCACTCTCTTCCTCTGTGGTGGAGGAGCTACTCGACCAGTCACTAATGTCGAGGATGCGGTCAGCGAGGCAGTAAGGTACGTCGGGTGAGTGTGGGAGACCCGGGGCGTCGTCCACCAGCGGGGCGATGGTTGTGTCACACTCTAGCTGCCTCACCTTGATGCTGGTGTGGGCGTCCGTCACCACACAGGCGGGCTCGGCGTCCCTCAACACATACAGGGTACGGAGGGCGGGCACGGTAGGGTCGAGGGGCACGTAGGCCCACCCCAGCTTCCATACAGCCAGAATCAACGCCACCAGCTTAGGACTTCGGTGTAGACAAAGAGCGACAGTAGTAAGACCCGTGCCACCATCACCACACCTGGCCCCTGTCTCCTGAACTCTCCTCCTGAGCCACACACACAGGGAGTCTACCATCTTCAGGAGGTCCCGGTAGGTGATCTTGGTGGCGTCGGAGATGAGGGCCACCTTGTCCTGGGTGAGGGAGGAGGTGGCCAGGCGGTGGAAGACCTGGTAGGTAGAGGAGTGATCAGGGGGGAGGGGCAGCACCTCTCCCACCATCAGCGCCATGACTCCTGCAGGTACAGACACACACACACACGTTAGTAAACACCTGACACCTCGGACTTAAAGTTACACACACCCTTCCTTCCTTCCTTCCTTCCTTCTTATCCTCATTCCTTCCTTTTTTCCTACTCCCCCTCCTCCCTTTTCCCCTTCTTTCCTTCCCCACTCCCCTTCCTTCCTCCCCCCATTCCCCCAGCTGTAGACACCTACCTATACAATTTAGTAAATAAAGGTGATCGAGTACAGTGTCTGTATAGTGAACACCAAATACCATACACTACCATACAATACAACAATATCCCCAACTACACAAAATACATTACACAGGTCAGGTTAGGTCAGGTTAGGTCAGGTTAGGTCAGGTCATTGTAGAAAAAACATATTTGATGACAAGAAAAAATATTACATGCTGTTATTCACCAAGATATACATCGCCTCACCCCTCACTGCATAACATACTCGTGAATAACATACTCGTGAATAACATACCAGTGAATAACATACTCGTGAATAACATACCAGTGAATAACAAAACCAAATATATAATCCCTACAGCCAAGGTATAGGTATCAAAAACATACCCCCACACCTTATACCAACAAATGACCTTTTGATCATATTTCACGAGTCTACCTTCAAAGAAATATATCAGGTGTCGGAAAAAGATTGAAAAATATTGCGAAAAAGATCGAAAAATGGTGAAAAAATCGAAAAATGGAGAAAAGGATCGAAAAATAGTGAAAAAATATGGAAAAATAGTGAACAAGATTGAAAAATAATGAATGAGATCGAAAAATAGCGAAAAAGATCGAAAAATAGACAAAAAAGTTTAAAAATAGTGAAAAAAGATCGAAAAATATTAAAAAAGATTGGAAAAAATAGTGAAAAAGATCGAAAAATATTAAAAAAGAGCGAAAAATAGTGAAAAAGATTAAAATAGATAAGTGAAATATATGAAAAATATCTGACAAAGAAAATATAAATAATATTGGATTATTTTTATATAATTAATGACAACAGGTGTGAATTTAAGCTGTATATTCACCTGGGGAGATTTATTCAGATTTATTCAGATTTATTCAGATTTATTCAGATTTATTCATAATTTTTACACTTTTGTCATTGATGTTATTATTGAAGATGGGAAGAATATTATAGATCTTTGGGTTAGGTTAGTGTTAGGTTGGGTTAGGTTAGTGTTAGGTTGGGTTAGGTTAGGTTAGTGTTAGGTTGGGTTAGGTTAGTGTTAGGTTAGGTTAGGTTTGTGTTAGGTTGGGTTAGGTTAGTGTTAGGTTAGGTTAGGTTTGTGTTAGGTTGGGTTAGGTTAGTGTTTGGTTAGGTTTGTGTTAGACAGACAGACACAGACAAAGGAACCTAAACTATATATAAGAACAGGTAAAGACAGACATATACACACACAGATGCACACACACACACACAGGCAGACACATACACACACAGACAGAGAAAGACAGACACAGGTGACAGTTCGAGACAGCCCCCTCCATCATCTGGAGCCTCACTCACCTGTTGATCCAAAGGTGATGACGTCACTATCTTCCCAGGTAGGTCGATATTCACCGCTCTCTCTCTCTCCCTTCAGTGCCAGGGATTGATTTTATATTTTGTTACTTACAGTAGCTAGTTTGTTGTGCATCTTATACTCCTCCTGTGAGCGGTAGAGCAAAAGGATTACAGAGTAGTGTTCATAAAGTGTCGTAATAATTAACCCCCGTTGTCAGGATATTATGGCACTGAATGTTACACAGTATTTCAAATATATTCTTTGTTTAGTTCTATAAATAAAGGGTAACTTGTTCACAGTACAGGCGCGTGAGGCAGTATGTCTGGCCGCACACTTTGTTATTCACATTTGCGTGAGAAGTGTTCAAGTACATTGTGTGTTTGGTTCTGTACATGAGAACTGATATAGTTACTAAGTGTAAAAAAGTGGATACAATCTTAATATGTCGGCTATCTTGCCATTAGAGATGAAGTTTTGTGCCATTTCACACACAGTGTGCTTGGACCTGTCCCTAAAAGGTTCTATCTTCACACAGTCGAGGACGTAGTGTTCAAGTGTGTGGCCATATGTCTGGCCACACACTTTACATTTAGTTTTGTTCACGTCTGCTTGAGGAACATACTGCCAGAGGTACTTATATCCTAACCTTAATCTAGCGGTTATAACATCTTGTAATCTAGTGATCTTGTTACTTGCTCCATATACATGTTTCACTTGGTACATCTCATCATGGTAAACTATGGATCGACTAGTGCCTGTTTACACTTGTCTACTTGCATCCAATTGATCAATAAGTTCTTTCCTAATTACAGTTTTAAGGGTTCTTTTTGACAGACCCAAATTGTATTCAACGGTGTGTTCGTTAGACGCGAGTCTGGCGAGGGCATCAACTGTCATGAGGCCTACGTGAGAGGGGACCCACAACAGTTTGACCCTGACACCCCGGTCAACAAGACACGCATATTGGTGTCTGGCTTCAGAGACAAGAGCGTGACAACCTGAGTCGAGGGTACCAAGGGCAAGTAGTGAGGACAGGTCAGGTCAGGTCAGGTTAGGTCAGGTCAGGTTAGGTCAGGTTAGGTAATGTCAGGTCAGGTGATCGAAGTATTGACCAGGATTAGAAGAGGGATTAACCAGTTAGTCGAGAGGGATTAACCAGTTAGTGGAGAGGGATTAAACGGGATTAGAAGAGGGATTAATCAGGATTAGGGATTAACCAGTTAGTGGAGAGGGATTAACCGGGATTAGAAGAGGGATTAACCAGTTAGTGGAGAGGGATTAACCGGGATTAGAAGAGGGATTAACCGGGATTAGAAGAGGGATTAACCAGTTAGTGGAGAGGGATTAACCGGGATTAGAAGAGGGATTAACCAGTTAGTGGAGAGGGATTAACCGGGATTAGAAGAGCGATTAACCAGTTAGTGGAGAGGGATTAACCGGGATTAGAAGAGGGATTAACCAGTTAGTGGAGAGGGATTAACCGGGAGAAGAGGGATTAACCTAACCTTCCCTCTATCTACTCTTAATATTTATACAGGAAATGGAAAGAAAATACGGTGGTGATGGTGTCGACTATGGTGGTGATGGTGTCGACTATGGTGGTGGTGGTGTCGTCTACGGTGGTGATGATGTCGACTATGGTGGTGATGGTGTCGAGTATGGTGGTGATGGTGTCGTCTACGGTGGTGATGGTGTCGACTATGTGTGATGGTGTCGACTGCCGTTGGTGATAATTAAATGAAACTATGGTGGTGGTGAGGTGTCGACTATGGTGGTGGTGTATTGTCGTCCTACGGTGGTGATGATGTCGACTATGGTGGTGATGATGATGTCGACTATGGTGGTGATGGTGTCGACTTCTGGTGGTGATGGTGTCATTCTATGGTGGTGATGGTGTCAAACTATGGTGGTGATGGTGTGTCATTATGGTGGTGATGAATTGTCCGACTATGGTGGTGATGGTGTCGACTATGGTGGTGATGGTGTCGAGTATGGTGGTGATGTTGTCGAGTATGGTGGTGATGGTGTCGACTATGGTGGTGATGGTGTCGACTATGGTGGTGATGGTGTCGGGTATGGTGGTGATGGTGTCGTCTACGGTGGTGATGGTGTCGACTATGGTGGTGATGGTGTCGACTATGGTGGTGATGGTGTCGAGTATGGTGGTGATGTTGTCGAGTATGGTGGTGATGGTGTCGTCTACGGTGGTGATGGTGCTTAATCTACGACACTCAACATGGGTTTACAAAGGGAAAATCTTGTCTAACAAATCAGCTGACGTTTTTTAGGAAAGTCTTCGAGGTAGTAGATAATGACGAAAATTACCATGTTATTTACTTAGACTTTAGCAAAGCATTTGACAGAGTACCGCATCAGAGGCTTCTGAGAAAAGTTAAGGCTCATGGTATCGAGGGGAAAGTTTTAAATTGGATAAAATCATGGCTCACCTATAGAACACAGAGGGTCAGCGTAGATGGTGTTAAATCTGAGTGGGGCTGTGTAACCAGTGGGGTTCCCCAGGGGGCAGTACTAGGCCCACTCTTGTTCATAATCTACATAAACGATCTAGATACTGGGATCAGCAGTGACATAAGCAAGTTTGCGGATGACACCAAAATAGGGCGGCAGATTAATTCAGGGCAGGATGCAAATGCATTACAGGAGGATTTAAATAAACTGCAGGAGTGGTCACAAAAATGGGAAATGAAATTTAATACCAGCAAGTGCAGCGTACTTAATATTGGAAGAACAAATACTGTCAATGTATACAGCCTTAACAACATCAACCTAGAGAAGTCGACTTGTGAAAGAGACCTAGGGGTACTTGTAAGCCCGGACCTACGGCTTAGAAAAAAGTGCGTTAATGTTCGAAATAAGGCAAACAGAGTATTGGGTTTTATATCTCGAAGTGTAAGTAATAAGAGTGCAGAGGTCTTATTGCAACTACATCTTGCGGCGCTAGTCAGGCCGCACCTCGATTATGCGGTTCAGTTCTGGTGCCCCTATTATAGAATGGATATCAATTCACTAGAGTCGGTGCAGCGAAGAATGACGAAAATGATTCCGGGACTTAGAAACCTTCCATATCAGGATAGGTTAAGAAACTAAACTTGCATTCCCTAGAAAGACGAAGAGTGCGGGGAGATATGATAGAAGTATTTAAGTGGGTGAAAGGAATCAATAAAGGGATATAGATAAAGTTCTTATAATATCCGAGCAGGATAGGACTCGGAACAACGGATTCAAGTTGGATAAGTTTAGGTTTAGGAGGGAGATAGGAAGGAACTGGTTCACAAATAGGGTGGTGGACGAGTGGAACAAGCTTACCAACTTTGTAGTAAGTGCTGGAACGCTGGAAAGTTTCAAAGGGAGGCTTGATAGATTCATGGATGATAGAGAGTGGTCGTAACTCTCGACAGGAGCTGCCAACCGGCCTATTGCAGACTCCTTATGTTCTTATGTGTCATTATAAAGGTGAATTGATGTAAGTATTTGTGATGAAAGGAATTGATAGCCCCGTCACACACACACCTGCTCACCGCGTCACCTTTAACTCTACACCTGCAACATCCGGAAGACAGACAGACAGACAGGAAGGAGATAAACGTTAACCTAGGTATTTTAACCCCAGCACTCAGGTTAGGTTTGGTTAGGTTAAGGTTGGGTTGGGTTAGCACACACACACACACACAGCTTTACCCAATTTCACCAGCCAGTCACAAGTCACGTAATGTACACACCATCCTTCCCTATCACCAGCCCTCCCAAGCTAAGTGAAATCCAATTGTGTTTCACGGTGTAGGTGGCAGTGATGACCGTGTGTGTGTGTGTGTGTAAACAGAGGACTGTTGGAGAGGGTCGGTGCACCACCAAGGTTCTCAAACATCCTCCGCCAGGTGACTGCAGGCCCGGGCACTTGTGGGTAGTGTGCAGCCAGAACCATTTAGTGTGCCAATGGGTGTAAACCAGGGCTGTGTGCTGCCACCTGTGTTGTTTAACATCTTTGTACTGGCTGTAGCACAACTCTCACACAATGCCCTTGGGCCTGTGGTGTGGGCATACGGTACCGTCTCGACGGTAGCCTTTTTAATGTTAGACGTGTGGAAGCCTACACAAAGACCTTAACAACCCAGGACAGAACTACAGTATGCAGATGACTGTGCAATAATGACACATAACAGAGACTGTATGCAACGTGCACTGGACGTGATCTCAGGTATTTACAGCTCGCTTGGCTTGCAAATTAACACCGAGAGGTCTGAGACTGTTGTCCAGCCCATTGTTCCACCAATAGAAGCACCACAATTCTACATTAATAAAGATCCTATCACAATAGTAACCCAGTGTAAGTACCTTGGTAGCACTCTCACACCCACCTGCTGTAAGTACCTTGGTAGCACTCTCACACCCACCTGCTGTAAGTACCTTGGTAGCACTCTCACACCCACCTGCTCACTGGTTATGGAAACTCAAACCAGAGTCAATTTAGCCTCAGCTGCATTTGGGCGTTTGAGAACAAGAGTCTTTCTCAACAATGACCTCAAATATGGAACGAAGACTGCAGTTTATCTCGCGGTCTGTATATCTACATTATTATATGCCTCAGAAACCTGGACGCCCTACAGACGCCATATCCAAATGGTGGAAAACTTCCACACTAGATCCCTTAAGGGTATCTTTGGAATATCCTGGGAAGACAGAGTGACTCGTGAAGAACTATATCGTCGCTCACACAAGACCAAGCTAGCCAAGACACTTGAGCTGGCTTGGACCTGTTATCAGGGGCCAGACCACCGGCTTCCAGGACAAATATTATATGGCAGAGCTCTCACATGGAAACCGCTCGGCGGGAGGACAGAAACAGAGACACAAGGACCACTCTAAAACTCTTCTCAAGTGCTGTAATATACTGGAGCAACTCGCCTCAGACCGTTCCTTATGGCGCTCAACATGCCATAGAGGAGCGGAAACACTGAGACCTCACTGAACCAAAAGAGAGCTACTAAACGAGCCCAACCACATCAGAGGCTCAAGGCATAATTCCTCTCAGTGAACAACATCCCCGTCACCTACACAACAAGATGTGAGCCTCCAGGACTGGCCGCCATGGTCATCTACGGTGGCATCAGTGGAATAACACATAACTCATCAATCATCTGGAGCAACGTCGTCATCCACTTCGATGGACTATCATAAGTAAGTAAACCAGGCGAAAGTACCAAGCGAAAGTATCAAGCGTGAGTAACAGGCAAAAGTACCAGGCGAAAGTACCAAGCGAAAGTATCAAGCGTGAGTAACAGGCAAAAGTACCAGGCGAAAGTATCAAGCGTGAGTAACAGGCAAAAGTACCAGGCGAAAGTATCAAGCGTGAGTAACAGGCAAAAGTACCAGGCGAAAGTATCAAGTGTGAGTAACAGGCGAAAGTACCAGGCGAAAGTACCAGGCAAAAGTATCAGGGGAAAGTATCAAGCGTGAGTATCAGGGGAAAGTGTCACCTAACCACCACACAAACACAGGACCAGAGATAGTCATCAACAGTCGTATTAAACATCAACAACAACAAATCGTGTTTATTGCTCTAATGAATAACAAAACCTATACATAGATGATACATAATGATACATGGACTCCTTGGGGATACATAGGACACACACACACACACACACACACACACACAATTCTGCTCCCAACTATACCGCCCTTCAGGATTTATTGACCAGTCTCCAAAACTGGGCCACCAACAACCATGTCACCATCAACCATACCAAGACCATGGTTATGCACATCAACCTCTCCTCCGACATTGTCCCACCTCCTTCCATTACCCTAGGTCCGAACACACTCCAGGTTGTAGATTCCACGAAGCTCCTCAGCGTCACCATAGACAACAAACTAAATTGGAAACCACACGTCAGTGAAGTTGTCAAATCCTCCAGTTTCCGTCTCCACCTCCTCCACCGACTCAAGTCCCTCGGAGTTCCTGCACACGAGCTCCTCAGTGTATACACAACATTCATACTTCCCAAGCTCACCTATGCCTCCCCACCGGTCTTCTCCCTAAATGCCACACAACGTAAACACCTAGAAAAAGTGCAAAGAGGGCATGCAAGATTATTCTCTCCCCTTCCTACTCCACATATCAAGCCTCAACACACTGACCCTTTCGACTCTCACTTGACCATCACCACAGCCTCATCTGCAAATTTGGTAAAGCTTCTGCATCCCCGACACCGGCTCTCTACCACCTGAGATCCCCTGTCCAAGAATTGCTGTTCGACACCACAACCGCATCAGCCCATACGTGCACAGTCGATCGCTATAGAACAGCCCAGTCCCAACCATTGTAAATTATCAATAACATGTAATAAATCAGTGTATTCACTCCCAGTAAACACTGCTCCCTACACTGTCACTATGTTGAAATGAACTGTAGTTTGAGCTGATCCCCATCTAAGTTACTATATGTCTTATTTGTGTCACTTATGTCACTTGTATATTATTATTTGTAATTCGTAACCCATTCCCCAAATATGTAACTGTATTTTCAGCCTTCTGGCTGCCAAGCTCTTTCAATAAACCGTTAATTTATTTGTTTATTATTACACACAGACCAGACCTACAGAACTTAACATACCTCCTCCTTACCTTAATTATAAACACAGGGGAAATGGAAGACTGGTAAAATATCTACCACACATAGCTACACCTTCATTAATACCTTGTAAGGTATTTAACTCCTGTATATATTACCATCACTAAAAACACTAATAATAAACACAGGAGTGGAGTATTCAGTATGGTATAGAAGAGCGAAGACGATACGTGTAGCACCCTTCCTTTCGAGCTTCTACTGAGCTGGACCTGAGGAACTTTATATACAGCATCCTGGGACCCCTCAGTGACACTAACAGTTGCTGATTATCATAATAGACCAATAATAAAAAAAGCCATTATATTTTCCCCTAATCTCAAAATCACGTTAAAATAATTATCAAATAAATCATATATATTTTAAAATTTATTCTAAGTTGGTATATAACAAAATAAATCCCAGTTTATTAGAAAGAAGTGAATTTGTTTAATTTTGGTGACGTCAGGCGGCTTTATATACCAACAGAGGTGAAAATAATCTTTAATAGTAAGGAAGTTTATATTGATTTATGACCTGGTCTCTCACTCAGTTACCCGCCAGATGGAGGAGGGCGGGCGTCAGTAGATGAGAGGGCGAACGTCAGTAGAAGAGGGCGAACTTGTAGGTAGAGAGAGAGGGCAGACGTGTGGAGATGAGAGGGCAGACGTCGGTAGATGAGGGCAGACGTCGGTAGATATTAAGAGACAGACGTGGTAGAGAACAGACGTAGGTAGATGATAGGGCAGACGTAGGTAGAGAGAGGGGCAGACGTAGGTAGATGATAGGGCAGACGTAGGTAGAGAGGGCAGACGTGGGTAGAGAGAGGGCAGACGTAGGTAGATGAGAGAGGGCAGACGTAGGTAGATGAGAGGGGCAGACGTGGGTGGATGGGAGGGGCAGACGTCGGTAGATGATAGGGCAGACGTGGGTGGAGAGGGCAGACGGTCGGTGGATGATAGGGCAGACGTAGGTAGAGAGGAGCAGACGTAGGTAGATGATGAGACGGAGCTTGAGTGAGAGGGCAGACGTAGGTAGATGGAGGGCAGACGTAGGTAGAGAGGGGGTAGGTAGATGAGGGGGCAGACGTCGGTAGATGAGGGCAGACGTAGGTAGAGAGGGGCAGACGTAGGTAGATGAGAGGGCAGACGTTGGGTAGAGGAGGGAGCAGACGTGGGTAGAGGGGCAGACGTAGGTAGAGAGGGCAGACGTCGTGGAGTGAGAGAGGAGCAGACGTAGGTAGAGAGGGCAGACGTCGGTAGAGAGAGAGGAGCAGACGTAGGTAGATGAGAGGGCAGACGTGGGTAGAGAAGGGCAGACGTAGGTAGAGAGGGCAGACGTCGGTAGATGAGAGAAGGGCAGACGTAGGTAGAGAGAGGGCAGACGTAGGTGGAGGCAGACGTAGTAGAGAGAGGGCAGGCAGTAGGTAGATGACAGGGCAGACGTGGGTAGATGAGAGGGCAGACGTGGGTAGAGAGGGGCAGACGTAGGTAGAGAGGGCAGACGTCGGTAGATAGAGAGGGCAGACGTGGAGTAGAAGAGACAGACGTAGGTAGAGGCAGACGTCGGTAGATGAGAGGGCAGACGTAGGTAGATGACAGGGCAGACGTAGGTAGAGAGGGCAGACGTCGGTAGATGAGGGACGGGCAATAGGTAGAGAGAGAGGGCAGACGTAGGTAGAGGGGCAGACGTGGGTAGATGAGAGGGCAGGCATGGGTAGATGACAGGACAGACGTGGGTAGAGAGGGAGGGCAGACGTCGGTAGATGACAGGAGCAGACGTGGGTAGAGAGAGGGCAGACGTGGGTGTAGATGATAGAGACGCGGGTAGGTAGATGAGAGGGCAGACGTCGGTAGATGACAGAACGGGCGTAGGTAGATGGGAGGGCAGACGTGGGTAGATGGGAGAGGGCAGACGTGGGTAGATGGGGGGGGCAGACGTGGGTAGATGAGAGGAGCAGACGTGGGTAGATGACAGGGCAGACGTACGTAGATGAGAGGGCAGACGTGGGTAGATGAGAGGGCAGACGTAGAGTGATGGATGAGAGGGCAGACGTGGGTAGAGAGAGGGCAGACGTAGGTAGATGAGAGGGCAGACGTTAGGTAGATGAGAGGGCAGACGTGGGTGGATGGGGAGGAGACAGACTGGGTGGATGAGGAGGGGCAGACGTGGGTAGATGAGGAGGGCAGACGTGGGTAGAGGGAGAGAGGGCAGACGTGTGGTGGATGAGGGGCAGACTTAGGTAGATGAGAGAGGGCAGACTGTGGGTAGATGGGAGGGCCGACGGGCGTCGGTAGATGAGAGAGGGCAGACGTGGGTAGATGAGAGGGCAGACGTGGGTATGATGAGGGGCAGACGTAGGTAGATGAGAGAGAGGGCAGACGTAGGTAGATGAGGGAGGGCAGACGTAGGTAGATGAGAGGAATGGGCGATCGGTAGATGAGAGAGACAGACGTAGGTAGATGAGAGAGACAGACGTAGGTAGATGGAGGGCAGACGTGGGTAGATGGGGAGGGCAGACGTAGGTAAGATGAGAGGGCAGGCAGCTGGGTAGATGAGAGAGGGGCAGACGTGGGTAGATGAGAGGGGGCAGACGTGGGTAGATGGGGAGGCAGACGTGGGTAGATGTGGGGAGGGCAGACGTCGGTAGATGAGAGAGACGGGAATGAGTGTAGATGAGAGAGCAGACGTAGGTAGATGGGGAGACAGACGTGGGTAGATGAGGAGGAGCAGACGTAGGTGGATGAGGAGGGGCAGACGTAGGTAGATGAGGAGGGCAGACGTGGGATGAGATGGGAGGGGCAGACGTGGGTAGATGGGAGGGGGCAGACGTGGGTAGATGATGGGGGGGCAGACGTGGGTAGATGGGGAGGGGCAGACGTGGGTAGATGGGGAGGAGACGAACGTGGGTAGGGGGGCAGACGTGGAGTAGATGGAGAGGGGCAGACGTGGGTAGATGGAGGGCAGACGTGGGTAGATGAGGGAGGGCAGACGTGGGTGGATGAGGGGGCAGACGTGGGTAGATGAGAGGGCAGACGTGGGTGGATGATAGAGACAGACGTGGGTAGATGGAGGGAGACGGACGTGGAGGTAGATGAGAGAGGGGCAGACGTGGAGTAGATGGAGAGACAGACGTGGAGTGTGGGGAGCAGACGTAGGTAGATGGAGAGACGAACGTGGGTGAGATGAGAGGGCAGACGTAGGTAGATGGGAGACGGGCGATGGGTAGATGGAGAGACAGACGATGGGTAGATGGGGAGAGGCAGACTATGGGTAGATGGGAGGGCAGACGTAGGTAGATGAGGAGAGGCAGACGTGGGTAGATGAGAGAGGGCAGACGTCGGTAGATGGGAGAGAGACGTAGACGATGCTGGGTAGATGGGGAGGGCAGACGTGGGTAGATGAGAGAGACAGACGTGGAGTGGATGGGAGAGACAGACGTCGGTAGATGGAGGACAGGCGTGGGTAGATGGGGAGGGCAGACGTGTGGGTAGATGAGGAGAGGGCAGACGTGGGTAGATGGGGAGAGCAGACGTCGGTAGATGAGAGGGGCAGACGTGGAGTAGATGGGGAGACGAGACGTGGGTGGATGGGAGGGCAGACGTGGGTGGATGGGGAGGACGGACGTGGTGGAGGACGGACGTGGGTGGATGGGAGGAGGACAGACGTGGGTGGATGGGAGGGCAGACGTGGGGAGTGGGGAGTGGATGGGGAGGACGGACGTGCGGTGGATGGGAGGACGGACGTGGAGTGTAGATGGGAGGGCAGACGTGGGTAGATGAGGAGAGGGCAGACGTGGGTGGAGTGGGGGGCGGACGTGGAGTAGATGAGAGACAGACGATCGGTAGATGGGGAGGGCAGACGTGTGTGGGGGGCAGACGTGTGGAGTGGATGGGGAGAGAGGGACGTGGGTAGATGAGAGAGCAGACGTAGGTAGATGGGGAGCGAGACGTAGGTGAGATGGGAGGCAGACGTCGGCTGATCAAGGAGTTAATGGGGAGTTATCAAGGAGAACTGTAAAGGTGGGGAGTCTGTGTGTGTGTGTGTGTGTGTGTGTGTGTGTGTGTGTGTGTGTGTGTGTGTGTGTCAGGGCAAGACGGATTACAGGCCATGTGTGTGTGA